GCTGTTAAACCCAACCCCCCCACACGCGATCATTCGGACTCGTCTCCACCAGCTCCCGCTCCCCGATGCCCAGCAACACCTCCCCCAGCTCCCTATTCTGGCTGAACTTCAGATACTGCCCCTCCTCCACCACGGCATCGCAGTGCGCGCCCCACACGTCCTGCCGGAACTCCTTGACCTGGCCGGCCGAGGGCCTTCGCGGCGGCGGGGTTGGGCGCGGCGAGGATCTCAGCGGCGGTGGCGGTGTCGCGCATGAGGAGGGCTTTGTGGTACGTCATGTACTGCTCGCTTGTGTTGAAATGGTTTGTGGCGCCGGGGGCGGTGGGGGAGGGCTCGGTGAAGCGGGAGGGGAACCATTGCTGGAGACAGCATTCCTTTTCGGGCCGGTCGTAGCCGAAGAAGAAGACGTATTTTTCCGTGATCTTCGGAGGAAGGTCTTGGGCGTATTGCAGCTCGGTGGGAGGAGGAGGGGAGGTTATCGCCGAGCCAGCGGGGGCCTTTGCCGTCGCTTGCGGCGGAGAGATGGGGGTTGGTGGACATGGGTGGTGGTGTTTTGGGGCGTGAGGTGCTTGGGGTGTTGGGAGATTTTGCGTTAGGGAGGTGGGGGTTTGTAGGGGATAGAAGGGAAAACGAGGCAGGGGTATAAGGTTGATGTTTGGATGTTTTGAGATGAGGTCATGGACCCCTCTTGAGATTGGGGGTTTCTTTGGGCCGGGGTCTAGAGCGACGACACCAACGGCGGGAGGTTTAGTTTAGTGCGTCGTACCTGAGGGCAGATAGCGAATCAAAAGCGATTGAAATAGGTGCCTTTATAGGTTGACAAAATAGATAGAAGTGAGCTTCTGGGTTGAAAAGTAGGGTTGTGGAACAAAGAATGAGAGCATAAGGGAAATTAGGAGGACATGAGTATTAGGGCTTGTGTAAGAAAAGGACGCCACGATCAGCTTTGATGAGATTGTGTACGTATTTAGCATGTTCAGGTGGTCCTAGAGTCAGTACTCAACGTTGCATATCGCGCATACTTCACATGAACGGATATCACGTCCTCAAAGCCATATCTTCAACCTAGGTCGGTCGTAATCGTACATTGTAACCTATCTCGCTTTTACGATTCGCCATCCGATCCTAGACGTGGAACCCTAAAATGAAACTGTGGTCGTTGTATTGTGTGGCGCAGGAAAGGGGAGGGGGGTTCTAGTTGATGAAGTTTACGCAGAAGAAGTGTAAGAGAAGACTTCCGAAGATGAAGTCGGCGAAGGCCCTGAGACCATTTGTCAGCGAATCTACTAGAAGAACTGAAATACATAGGAAGGATTGGCATACCTCTCGTTTGATATAGTCTCAAACTCAGCCTTGTTCTCTGGATTCGTCTGGATGCGCAGACTGGCTGTGAGGACGAACTGGCCGACGGTTGCGCTGAAGCCGGAGAGGAAAGCGTTGAAGGGCTATAGAGTGAACAACAGATTAGCCTAGTCCCTTCGACATACGCATTATCGTGAATCCAGGGGTATAGATCCATGTGCACCCCATCGCCATATTCCTCGCGAGTCCCCTCAGCTCAACTCAGGGCACCACTCCACCTCTTCTTCTGAGCTCCAATTACCCTTTCCAACTCTTTTCCGTCCACCCACAATGAAATTGAGGGGAAAAATTGCTTAGTACTCACATAATTCCCCACAATCACACAATACACAAACTGCAGCGCACCCACCGCCACTAGAAACGCCATGAAGCTATCCAGCAGCTTCACACGCTGCGGTGTCCGCTGCACATACTTGTCCCACACATTCTGCACGATATCCTGCGCCGTGTTCGCGTTCAGCGGCTTCGAGCTCGTTGTCGTGGTTGCTGACGGTGTGGATTTGGGAGTTGAGGACTGGACGGAGGCGGAGGTCGGGTGGCGGTTCTTAGGGGGCATGATTGCGGGTATAGAGCTGGATATGGGTACGGTGAGGCTGTTGGAATTGGAGTCGTAATTGAGTTGGAGAGGAGAGGATGGCGTCGGAGATATTTTATGGAGGTTGCATTGAGGCCAGAATACGTATGCCTCACTAGCGCGACTTCCAGAAAGCTTGTCTCTCAGCGTCGGCATTCGGGCCGGAGATGCCATCATCGAGCTCCCCGCATAAACACTAGCTGCATCTCCCGCTCTCACGTCCTCCTACATCTCGCAAGCCTCCAGAACTCGATCGAAGCTGTAGACCGCAATCGCTTACATATTCCGCAACTTCAATTCCTCACAACTCAAGCACAATGGTAGCTTATCCTCAAGAAACCCTCCCCAAGCTCGACCCCTAACAAACAACACCCAGGCCACCCTCGACGCCCTCGCATTCGTCCTCGGTGCCCTAACAGCCGGAGGCGGAATCACGGGCTATGTTCGAACGGGCTCACTTCCTTCCGTCATTGCCGGCGTGACTGTTGGAGCCCTCGTAAGTCATTCCTCCACCCCATACACATACGTGCGCACAGCTAACACAGCGCTAGTACACCATTGGCGGCGCACGCATTCGCTCCCGTGCCACCTACGGCGTCGAGTTCGCTCTCCTTGCATCGCTGGTTCTAGCTGGTAGCTCGATCCCCCGCGCGATCAAGTCTGGAAAGCCGCTGCCGGCTGGGCTGAGCTTGTTGGCTACGGTTGGGCTGATTGCTTTTGGGTCGGCCTGGTCGGGACGGGTGAGGTGAAGGATTTCTACGGCGCAAGCGGTGGAAAACGGGATCAGGAGTATTCAGGGAATGGACCTGGCTAGGTTGAATACACTCAATTACGGTGTCCGAACGGGACGTCAAATCTGTGACACTTCAAATCAGATCAAAGAAATGAGGTTGCTTGAGATGTATGAACGGGGGGCTAGTCCGATGTCGCAGATCAAAATCATGCAGTTTACTCTCTGATTCAGGGTCTCCATCCATGCCATCCGCCAACACACTCCAGATTGGATCGAAGAGTAGGCAAAGCAATCGGATTTGGTCGTGTCAAAAAAGATGGGGGAATTGTCACTAACGCGTACGCATAGACGGGCTGTGAGACGAGGAGAGGCGGTGTCTTATAAGCACGCTCTGTGGAATGCCGAAAGGGAGAGTTTTCACGGCCCGCACACCTCTACGACTATATCCTTCTCTTTTGCCAATAGAAACAACGGAAAAGCAACCACAGAGCGAACCCCACCGCGTGTCCTTAAAGTCTAAGCAGAAAATCTTCCACGCAGTTTGATCTGGGACTCTTTGCAACTTTACCAGGCGAGGCGTGGCCAATGCGTACCCCTCAGTGTGCACTCAGTGTCTGATGAAAATTCGATTGATGCGGTCCGATCCGTGACTCTTTGCAGCTTATCTGACCGATACGTCTCTACCACGGCCCCCTCAGCGTACGAGTCCGTGTCTGGTAAAATCGATTCGTACGGTTCGATATGAGAGTCTTTCTTTTTGCACTGACTGAAGCTCTTCACTAACCCCCCATCGCGTACACTCAGCGTTTGACTGATCAAAATTCTATTCGTACAGTTCGATCTGGGAATCTTTGCAACTTATCGAAGCAGTACGTCGCCAACGCGTGTCCTTCGATGAAGGCTTCGCGTTTAATAATAATGATTAGAAGGGAGTGGGTTTAATTCTGAGCGGTTATGCGGGAGTATGGTCACATGACTATAGGTAGAGTAGTGGGTAACTGATGGGTGGGTTCAGTAATACAGAGTAGTGGAGGGAGCAGAGCTGGGGAGTGGGAGGGCGTGGTGCAACGGAAAGATGTAAAGGAGAAGGTATGTGATTATTTCCTCTCAGCATCATGTCTTAAGTATTGAATATATCAAGTCGCTGACGAGAGTTTTGTGTCTATCAATTAGTATAGGTACGACTGCATAGCGAAGAAACGTCCTGATGGTGGTAGTTCCTAACGGGATCAAAGTTGAGATATATATATGAAGCCATTGGGAGGTATATTATGATTGGTACAGGGCCTCTGACAAAGCTCGATGAGACTCGTGTCTCGGATTAGCAGGTCAGGTGGATTGTGGGACTATTAGATTGATTGTATCTAGTAAATGGTGCGGTGAAAATTTCTTTGTGGCGGCCTCTTCTTACTAGCAATACATAATAAGCTTGGTATTGTGTGAAAGGAGTAGACTGTGAGTAGTGCCACCGTAGAGCTGTTTGGATGGGAGTAGAACGGAGCTACGCCTGAGAATAAAGGGCTGCCTTTGAGACTGAGAATTCCATCTAGGCCGGGAATACTCGTGACCTGGGAAGAAATGCTTACCTGGAAGAAAAAGGTGAGGTTGGTGACTATTTGCACATGCTTTCAAGGGACTCAGGAGTGTTTTGGGAAGATAATCAAGGTAAATGAGCTGTGTTCATGATATGTACAAGCTTTTCCCTACGCAAAACTTGCCCAGCACACTAGCCAGTGAATTACTACCAAACGCCATTGACCCCCTTTTCCTCTACCGCTTTCTACCACTCCTGCCCTCACAACTTCGCCTCATCAACCTTCAACCACGGTACCTCCTCCGGACTATACTTATACGCCCGAAACACCGCATTCGCCGGATACCAAAAATACCCCTCAATCTCTTCCGCACCCAGCCCCTTATAGCTCGCAAAATCCGGCACCACATACTCCCACACCATCTCACCCTCCTGCGTCACTTCAAAGATTCTTCCGAACGCCGCTTCGGTCACTAACGTGTTCCCAGTCGCTAACCGCTGCGCACCCCCCATAAACGGCGTGAAGAACGTCATCGGATGCGGATCCCTATACTCCCACACTATCTCTTTAGTAGCGCGCGAGACCTGTATCACGCGGGAGTACGTCGCGCTCTCGCCGTGCCGGAAAGTCCCATTGTCGAAGATCAAGATGTCGCCGTTTGCGAGCTCAGACGCGCAGTGCTGCTGCGCGACGACCGTCGAGTCTAAATGCCAGATCACTTCCCCTGTCTCGCGGGAGATGATGATGACGGCGGAGACGGAGCGGAGGGAAGCAAGGATGTTCCCGTCCGCGAGGGGCCAGACACTGTTGATCAGCGGCCAGTGGTCGCGGGTGTAGTGCGGTTGGAGTGGGAAGAGGGGGGGCGGGAGATGCTCGATCGCGCGCCATGACCAGAGAAGCTCGCCGGTGGGCGAGACGTGTTTGATGCAGTCGGCGTAGACGGTGCCGTCTGGCGCCTCGGTCTTAGGGATACCACCCGGGATACTCGCTGCTTCGTCCGCGGTGCAGGGGGCGAGGGTCGTGTACAGGATCGAGCCGTCGTCGAGGTGGTGCTGGTCGTGGTGGGCGAAGGGGTCGCGGTGCTCTGATACAACCTTGCCAGAAGGGTCAACCTGCATCATGACACCACCGCGATACTTTTGCCATAGCGGGAAGAGGCGGGGCGCGTCTGGGTGGACGCCGTTGAAGGCGAGGTTGCCGTTTTTGAGGATGCGGGCGTGACGGCCGGGTCGGTAGGGGAGTTTCCAAGTGTGGACGACGTGCCCGGCGTTGTTGACGAGCTTGACGATGCCTGGGGAAGTGAGATGCGCGAAGAGGGTATAGCCTGGGGAGACTTTGGAGTTGTTAACGCCTCGAAGTCCTAGACCGCGGCGGGCAAGGGTGCTTTGTTCCATAGTGGGGAGGATATAGGGAAATCTTGATGGAAAAGCGAAGAGTTTGTTTTTGAAGTATGATAATAGTGCTTAAGTAGAAAGCGATTTGATTATGGAGTGATCGAATCTTGCAACTGTTGTGATCTGTATATATATATTCTTCCACAGCATCTCCACCTTTTTTGAGGTTTCTAGACTTGCCGTCTTCTCCGCGGTCTGCGGCCTACTCCGATATGTATTGATCACGTCTGATATGAGAGTGCTTGCGAATTATGGCGAATGTTCAATGTTTGAAGTTTTTCTGTGAAATAGTTAGCATATGAAGTGGTTGTGATTTGGTGGCTGATCCCCCACGGACTATCGTCCCGCGGCATACCTACGGCATGCCGGGCAGGCCCGGTCGGTTGCGATAAGGAGCTAGCCATCCACGCCATCTTCCTGCATCTCGAGCAATCTCCACGCAAACCACCGAGCATCACGCAATAGCTTGGGTGGTGGCTTGAAGGAGAGATAAAATGAAGTCGAAATCCCCCTGAGGATGCACTCAAGCATCAGACTCATTAGCATCAACACTCAGCAAAATGGAAACCACCAAGAGCTTCAAGGCCAACTCGGAGATCGATTCGAAGGCAGCTTCTGATGCTGGCTACGATACCAAGGTCGGCAGTCCCGAGAAGGGTGAGACCGTCTCTGGGGTTCGGGGATGGTTGAAGAAGCTGTCAGTCGAAACGGGGGGTATCGAGCGCGTTACCGATGAAGATCGCCAGACGAACACGTCGAAAGTCTGGAACGCGTGTACATTTTGGTATGTATTTGAATAACTCCCTTCAAAGTAGCTGTCAATAGCTGACATGCAATAGGCTGAGCGCGAACATGGCCGTTGCTACATTGAGCACTGGAATGGTTGGAGGATCTATGGGCCTAGCATTTTGGGACTGTTTCGCAATCATCGTGGTCGTCAACTTGCTCAGCTGCTTATTGCCAGCATGGACAGCCTCTCTTGGCCTGTCAGGTCTACGAATGACGACTTTTTCGTAAGTTCTGTGCTCGTACATTTGATCCATCACGTCTAACATCACCAGACGATACTCGTTCGGTTACTGGGGCAACCTCCTCGTCGTTGTCTTCTCCATAGTCAGCACCACAGGCTGGAATGCTATCAACTCCATCTCCGGTGCCTCCTGTCTGTACGCTCTCTCGGACGGCAAAGTACCCACGTGGGCTGGCGTGATCATCATTTGCACGACGGTCTGGCTCATATGTGCCCTCGGCATCACCTGGATCCATCGACTAGATGCCTTCCTTTGGATCCCTCCTACCATTGTGTGGTGCGTAGCAGCTGGAACGGGCGCGAAGAACTTCCACGGTGCAGCCATCAAGTCGCCCACAGGAGCTAACGGCGCGGCGTCCGCATTGTCATTCATGGCCGTTGTCTTCTCCTTTGCCGTATCATGGGTCAACTGCGCAGCCGACTACAATGTCAGGATGCCGGTCAATACTCCTAGAAGCAAGATCTTCTTCGCCACGTATGCCGGTATCCTCATCCCAACGGTCTTGGTGCAAACTCTAGGCGCTGCCCTGTACAGTGGGACCGAATTGAACAAATCATGGAAACTGGCTTATCTTGATGCTGGAGTCGGTGGCCCACTTCAGAAGGCACTCGAGCCTGCAGGCGGCTTTGGAAAGTTCCTCATGGTCCTGGCAGCATTGAGCGCTATCCCTGTAAGTGAATGCTATCATCTTTGATATGAAAGACATCTAATCGCACATAGAACAACATACCCAACAATTACTCATTCGCCATGCACGCTCAGAACTTTGGTCCTTGGGCCGTTCGAATCCCACGGATAATACTAGTGACCTTCGGCTTCATCGCTGCCATCATAGTCGGTTGCTTCGCGGCCAAGTACTTCCACGACACTCTCCAGACATTCCTTAGCATCATCGGTTACTGGACGATCATCCATATCGTCGTCGTAGCCGAAGAGCACTTGATCTTCCGGGCGAATCGATGGAGTCGGTATGACTTCGATGCCTGGGACAAGCCTGCGTTGCTACCGTTTGGCTGGGGAGCGATAGCCGCGTTCTGTTTTGGGTTTTTGGGTGCCGCTATGGGAATGAAGGTCGCTTGGTACGATGCACCTATTGCTGGTCTGATTGGGAAGAAAGGTGCCAACATTGGGCATGAGTTGACGGCTGCTTTCTCGGGTCTGGCGTTTCCTGTCTTTAGGTGGTTGGAGAAGAAGTATACTGGGAAATGATGGGTTAGATCTTGAGTTTTAGGAGTTTAGTGCCGCGGCTCGGAGTCCAAAACGTTGAAGGACCTTAGATTGATATTTCGACCAAATATACTGCTTTGTAATATGTCTCTATGATGTCCTCCTCAAATGCGTTGTTGCTCTAATACGTTTTCGTTCTTTCGCGATTAACAAATTTGAGTCGTAAACGCGCCGTCTAAGGTGCTTAATCGAGTGTACGGACTCCTTGTAAATGAATCCTTTGCGCCTTGATGAATATTTTGACAAGGCGATGAAATGCGGTTGATAGTGGCAAGAGAAAACGTGAAACTTGATGCCATGAGCTGAATATCTCTTGAAGAGTTAATTGGAGGGATAGTTAATCGGACCCCAGTCCGGCAACAGATTGCCAATGCTTCCTTCGTAGGACGTGGTGCCGAATAACTCGGGAAACAAAGACGCAAAATCCTCTTGGCTGAATGGATCTGCGTCTTCGTACGAATTCGTCGGGCTGAGCTGTGCATTCGGCCGGAGTTTCTTGTGAAAAGATGCCACGACATCGCCGAGAGTGTATGCAACGTGGCATGGAAGTCCAATGGAGTGGAGCCAGGAGACCAAGGAAAGCACCAGGTTATCGAGTTCAACGAGATTGTAAGATGCGGGCAGTTGACTTTCGTAAAGATGCATGATTCGTGAAAGAGTCACGGCCGCAAAGGCGATCATGTGATAGATGTGGTCGGTTAAGTGTCGAGTACGATCATCGGTGGTTTCCATTGCAAGATTGATAATGGCGGTCGATAGACGTACCATTTCGGACAGTAATGATTCTCTTACTGCAGCGGAGCGGGTTTTGAGCGACTGGTCATAGATTATAAGTTGTGCGAAATGAAAGCCCATTTGAATAAACTGTGACCTCGGTTGATCTGGCTGCATTAGTCGGACTCAATAACATTGACCGCAAACTTACCGAATAGGAATTTCCAATCTTCTTTCCACTTCCACAAAGCAGCTTGAGTCTTTGGAAGGTCCACGGGTGTAGCCCAGCAGCTTTCATAGATGATCCAGTAGAGGTGGACCTCACCAACCATTCGCGATTCGAAGTTCGTAACGTGATCGGAATCGAGAATTCCGCGGCATCGATCGATCTGCTGGCGATCTAGCATGGCCTTTCGCCGGGTGCCCACACAATAACTACGTGCGTCAGCATGAGTACTCATGAGTACACTTTAGCCTTACTGTAGATGAACCAGACAAAGGTGGTTCCAGACACACAATCGATCCAAGGCACTTTTCCTAGTGGCAGAGGGGTCGCTCATGTTTGTGACTGGCCGAAACATGTTCGTAGCTAGTGAGTGTTGAAGTGCGAAACCACTAAGCAACCAGCTATCTACGCTCAGTGGCATCTGAGAAATGGTCGTTGACCACATGCTCATAATCAAAGAGGCTTGGAAGAAGTCTAAGGATTGTGGGACGGCTAGCATAGCTGCAGACAGGAGCTCTTTCGCTTCCTGGAAAAGTCGAGGGGCTATTCTAGATGCGAGGTCTTGGGTAGTATGACGAATTGCTATCAAGCAGCAAGCAGATAAAAGGAGAGGCGAGCTTCTTACTTCAGCAAGAAGCCTCTCAGGGGTCGTTGACGGATTGAACACTACCCAACGTCCGTAATGCTCGTTGAACCTGTGCCAAATTAGCATCGTTGGTAAACTTGTGGAATGTGTCAAGCTACTTACAATGAAAGTAATGTCGAGGCGTCTTGTCCCGTGAGTAAGCCACTTGCTATGATGTCGCGACCTTTCAGCCTCAAATTCAGCGTGTTCGTGTCATCTTGCGGTGCCTGAACACCAGCTTCGGCCGCAACATCGCGTAAGACGAAAAGCGGGGCCGAAGAGGGCTCCTCTAACGGAACTCTTAAGCCAGGATCACTTGATACATGTCCTATTGACGATGTAGCTGATGGTGATGCTTGTCTAGGCCCGGATATCTCTTCGATGCGCTGGACTAAGAAGTCGACGGTACGTTCGAGACGACCTATCCTGCAAAAAAAAGTCAGTCTAAGTCATGACATCAGTTGAGATATTGCCGTTCGACTACCAAAAAAATATTGATACTCATGCAGAATGAGATAGCAAGGCTCCTGGTCAGCACCTGCCTCGAAGCCATTGTGTGGCAGAACAGACAAATATCATGGGCTCGAATGATAGAGGAGCAGCATTCTTCGATCGGAGAAGTTCGATCGATGGACACGGGTATGTCCACTAAATGCTTACCGTCTAACACTCATCAAATGTGCCTATAACAACACATGCCAAACATGAAGCACGTTCCAGGTTGGCGAGAGTCTTCAAAGCGTACCCCTGAGCGTGCCTAACTATCGCAAAAGCAAAGAAATTGGCGAGCTTCTCAACTCGAGACTGATCTCTTACCTATCGTCCCCATCCGAGGTGCTCACGTCCCAATGATCATGTCTCCGTGCATCACGTCCTTTACCGGCCGACGCATCCAGAGAGCAGGGCTGCTGAAGCCTATCACACCGCAGACAGGCCTTCCCGTTAATCGTTTCGTAGCATCGTGTCTTCTGCTTCCGGCAAGCTGCGCAGGCTACCGAGGCCCTGCCGCGATCGGGAGGCATGGGAGGGATGGAAATTGAGCTTCCTCGATAGAGTTGAGAATCGAGATGATATGAAAGCTTTAGGTCACACTCCCATCATTCCCCTTGATGTACCGTCATCTTTTCTGGTCGGTATGTTGCTCATTGATATGGGCTGAAGTCGTAAACCTTGTCATCATGCTTATGGACTAGCGTGACGCTTGGGCAACCCTCCCAAGGGGCGGCGTGGGGGTTAACTTCCTTCTACCTCACCTCCTCTGCCTTGGGAAAACTATTTCCCGTAGATCCCATGTCACTGCCATATTCGTCATTTATATTTAGTTGGCACTCAGGAGGTCATTGCCGACATGACATACACGTTTCAACTTAAGAAACTCAAACGTTGCAGGTTATATCCCCCAACCTGGATCATTGCGGCACAGCAGCGCTTCCGGGTTATTTCCCATTCGTTCCCCGTGGCTTTGGCACGTGCCCTCCGCTGATCCTACTGGTGCCCGCTCATGTACGAGTAATCAGGATGCTCGTGACCTACCTATTGAAGGGTTGCGGAAGCTTAGCAATGCAGGCATGATGTATGGTGAGATACGCATCGAAGCAAGCCGCGGTATCGAATTCGCCTCTCCCGCAAGCATTAAATGTAGAGTTGAATATAGCGACACTCTTGTAAGCCAGGAAGGTAGTTTGGGAGCGCGACAGCTGGGCTGTTATGTGACTCCTAGGATGGTGCCCAGCCTCAATCATAGTACTTGCATGATGGCGCTTATGCCGCTACCCTGTTGATTCAGTCACAAAAGAGCGAGCGCTGCGCGTCACCCTTCGGTGCCACAATCCTCTTTTCCTCGTCTACTCCGTCAAATGAGACTGCTACCATTTACCTCCTTTCCGTTAGAACGCGACTATCTCAACGCATCAACAATCACCACCAGGGTCTCGGGAATCGATCCATCAACGATATATTCTCAACATGAGCGTCCCTCCAAGCAAGTGGTCTTCTGAGACTTCGCTTAACCAATTGCATTCGCGCGACGAATCCGAATTACTCGATGTCATTGACCAGCTCCGCTTTCAAGGAGTTGGCCGATTCTTAGGAGAGGACGGTTTGCCACAGCTCATCGTCGCGGGAGACCAAAGTAGTGGAAAGAGCTCGGTACGGGCAAGACAAAACTCTGTCAATTGAAGACAAACACTGAATGCGCATAGGTTCTAGAAGCTCTGACGAGAGTTCGATTTCCTATTCGGAGCAAACAATGTACCACATTCGCGACCGAGTTGAAGCTTCGTCGAAGCACCACCTCTCGGATCAGTACTCGAATCAAGCCTGGACCAAACCGTACCGAGGAGGACAAGCAACGTTTAGCGCGATTCAAGGAATCCTGTTCATCACCAGAACAATTCCCTGAATTGATAGATCTAGCGAGAGCCTGTATGAAAGGTATAGATCGCGAGAGCTCGGAAACTTTCTTTGACGACATTCTTCAAGTGGAGATCTTTGGCCCAGATCTCGCGCCTTTGACGGTTGTTGATCTTCCTGGTATCATACATTTCCACAACAACGACCAAGAAGTATCCACGGTGTCGGATCTCGTCCAAAAGTACATGAGACACCGCAACAGTATCATCCTCGCTGTTGTAGCGGCGAGCAACGATTATAACAACCAAATAATCCTTAAGTATGCAACACGAATTGTTCCCGGTGGTGAAAGAGTTCTGGGCATCATAACGAAGCCAGACACTCTGACCCCGGACTCGGATAGAGAGCTGGACTTTCTGAATCTTGCTCGGAATACCGAGATCAAATTTGAGCATGGTTGGCACGTTGTCCGAAACTGGGATTCAGATACAAAAAACAGCACTTTTGAAGAGAGAGACCAGGTCGAGCAAGATTTCTTTGAAAACAGTAGTTGGGCAGGCTTGCCTACTCTGAATCCAGGTTTAGGAATCAGCTCGTTACGGCAAAGACTAAGTGAGATCCTCCTAGACCATATCCGTACGATCTTGCCGTCTATCCGGAAAAAGCTCAGCGAAGATCGCGAGGAGAGCGAGGGATTGCTAAGAAGACTTGGCTCGCCACGCGAAACGACCAGAGAACAACAAGATTACCTATCTAATATCAGCGATGCGTTCTATGAGCATATGCAAGATGCTCTGGATGGAATATATCGCAGGAGCAAGTTTTTCAATGGAGAACACAGGCGGCTGAGAGCTGTGATACGGAATCTCAATGAAGAATTTGCGATTGATATGCTTCAAAAAGGTCAAAAGTGGTATATTCTACCTGATGATTTGGCAGAGGATTCAACACCGATCGCAAAGCTCCTCACTGGTCGAGCTTATCTCAGAAGCAAATTCCTTCATGAAGTTGTGCTTCCCTTGGTTCGAAGCGAACGGGGCCATGAGCTTCCCGGAGTCTTCAACCATCTCTTGATCGGGTCTTTGTTTCGTCGGCAAATGGAGCCCTGGGAAAATCTCGCCAAGGCTCACATACAAAGGGTTTGGTTTGCCATCAATCGATGTCTCGAAGAAGTCCTAGGACACATCACGAATGAGACAACATGCAACAACTTGCTAATGCATGTCATTGATCCGGCTATGAAGTCTCGGCAGCTCGAGGTCATGAAAAAGCTTCAGGAGCTACTTCTCCCTCATAGAGACTATGAGCCGATGAATCTCGACCCGACCTTCTTCCTCAACGTTCAGACAGTTAACCCTCAGAAAGAAAATTCTGGTTCGTTGGATAAGAACAGTCGTACCTCACCTGAAGACCCTTCTAACCTCGGCCCCGACTCTGGAACGGTTGGGGCCAATGACGGTCATGGAAGTCTCTCCGATCAGTATGAATGCTCGAACGCCCTGGATGCGATGCAGTCTTATTATAAGGTCAGAATCATATGTCCCTTTTAGTAAATGGAGGCTCTGTGCTGAGATGACTTCCGCTAAGACATAACGCTCGTTTAGAGAGAGGCTAATTTGATTTTCAGCCTGCCATGATCCAATTCATAAACAACGTAGCATCATTGGGCATCGAACAGTGTCTCCTTGTCGGCCTTCCAAAGATATTCTCTTCCGCCACAGTACGGAATATGAATGATGATATACTAATTGCTGTAGCGGCAGAATCTCGAGCCATAGTCACGGAGAGGAGCCGGTTGAGTAAGAAGTTGGAACTTTTGGAGACTGGTCTGGAAACCATAAGAAGGTTCACACCACGTGGTAAGCACTCCGTTTCCTTCAAATGCATAGTACCGGTCCTAAGGTAAAGCAGGACGATGACTTACTTTTTCTTGCGTTGCAGGCATGCATGAATATAAAATGCTGCCTTCTAGCCAGCCAGATTCCAGCTCCCAGCGATCGACAAGCTCTTTACCACTGAGACAGGATACGAAGGCAGCGTCATCAACCGCTAGCCAGCCAGTATCGATCGAAGTTGCTAGCGGCGCACTATCAAGCTATGGAAAATCGCCTGTGGTATCAGTGATAACTGCACGCTCTCCTTTACAGCTTGCTGGTAATTCTATCCTGGCTATTCCTACTCCGAAACAGTCTCCACCGCTGCCCTCATCTACGATGGATGGTTCAAAGTCTCCTAATATTTCAAGCTCGGCTCTGAATCGACAGGACACGCCCTCGATTGACGCTTCGACCACTGGCACTGCCGGTAGTGGACCTTTTGTCAAGCTTGGAACTACTTCCCCGAAACTGGCTGGTACATCTTCCTTGGCTCCAACCCCAATCACGCCTCTCGCTTTGTATTCCACCAGCAAAGATGATGCAAGCCCGTCTGATAGTTCAAGCATATCACGGGACCAGCAAGATGAGCCTTTAACTGGCAATACAAACACTGGAGCCACTGACAGTGGACGTCCCGGCAAGCAAGAAACCACCCCCTCGATATCCACCAGCGTTTCCAACTTGCTAACTCCGGCTCCGACTCCACATCCATCTTTGTTCCCATCTTTTAAAGCTGCTGCGAGACCGCCTGGCACTCTGCTTCCATATGACAACCCTACGAGGAAGCCTTCATTTGGCGGTAGTGGGCTTTTTGGCGGCGGAGGCCTCGATTCAAGCACAAACAAGCCTTTATTCGACTCCAAGAAGACCAGCACATCCGGTGGTGGAATATTCGGCAGCGGAAGCATCGATTCAAGCCTGAATAAGCCGTTGTTCGGAGGCTTCGCTTCCAACCTAAGCCAGACTTCATTTGGCTCTGCACCCTCGGAACGCAAAGCGAACAATGGCACTGCTGGTACACCCTTTCATACCACCATAGAGCGAGATGGTAACTCTGGGTGGCAGCTTTGCCAGAGCATTACTTTCCAGCCCGAATATCAGCACTATTCTCTGGAGGAATTGAGGGTTGTGGACTATGCCCAAAGCAGACGGTATGGTAGCTAGAATGAAACGAGCTAGCTGGCAGCTTCGACTATAGTGCTGCATTTGAAAACATTGGGACCATCAGTCGATGGATCACGAGACTATTCGAAAAAATTTTATACCATCCGCCATTCCACGATAGGTAAGACTACGCGAGTGTAGTATCTGGGACATGGCCGATTCAAGTGCTCGCAGAGTTGAATGATGACTGGAGAAGGCAGTGTATCAAATAGAGTCTGCTTTCATTTAGACTTTGGTTAGTTTCATTGAATACACTGAGTCTGGAAATCGTATCTTTGAATATGCCTTGTTGTGGTTGTTCTACCAGTTCGAATATAGAAACTACAGTATAAAGCTCGCGGGTCCCACCGGCGAGAGTCTACTTTTGAACTGTCTTTTATTATTCCACATTGACATCGCTGATTGGAGCTTATGTGATTTTAAGGCAGATATTTTACCTATCACGTGCACGTGTGACTAAAGTAGACTAGCCTAGTCCCAATTTTAGCGTGCCCCCTCGACAACGCGTTTCCGACGCGATCAACCCGACTCACATCTTCCAACTCTCGCCCATGAGAACAACACATTTTCCGAACATATCGACTCGCTGAAAAAGACGGCCACCTCTAACAACTCCCGCTACAAGTTCCTTGAAGCGATTATAATCGACGACTCCTGATTCGACATGCATCATTGCGGCACAGCAGCGCTTCCTGATATGATGTTCCTAATTGCAACGTAGGAAGGCAACTCGCCTGGATGAAACACCATTGGCCATCTTGCGTCATACCATCCTTTCTCGACTGATCATGGGAGTTCATCGGAGCGTGTCAGCCTCCAGGAACCCCGGCACTAACATACCGGTTCAGGAAGACGAAGGTCTGATCTCGCAGCCATGGTCTATTTACAGATCAACTCTGAGGCAGCTCCACAGTCTTACGCTCTTTGCTCATTGGTTCTTGCTGCAACGGTCTGCAAATAGCGTCTAGTCTCTCGTCTTGCATCCTACGGAGATGGACCTCACACGGAAGCAGTGACCCCGCTGTCTGCCGTAGCCAGAGAGGTATTGGAAAAGCTCTGAAAGACTCGCTGGAGTGTTCCAAGCGATGGTAAATCAGTCTGCACAGATACACCACGATACTTGGTAGCATCCAACCCACCAACTTTAGACTAAGGCCGCCCCGTTCTTTTCATGGCTTAGACTTCGTAAGTTCCAGGTATGTTTCGAGATTTCAAGAACTAGCTAGTCTTCAAATATGTGTCACGTTTGAGGCAACCTGGACGAATATGCTGGTATGGACGGCGCTTAGCCAACCTCCTCCGAGTACAAGACGGTCGACTTGTCCCATAACTTTAGAGTATACCTTTTTACGTTCTTCGCAAATACAGATCTGAAGTCTCTTTCTCCTATTCCATAGTCATCCGCTCGTCTGTCAGCATACAACAATGTCGCCAACGGAATTCGAGACACCTTTACTCGACCAAATCTACTCTCATGACCAAGTCGAACTCTTCGATACTATCGATAGGCTTAGGCATCATGATGCCTGCAGAGAAGCTGGGCTTCCGCAGCTTATAGTGTGTGGAGGTTAGTAAAGAGTATCTCTTGACTTCTATCATTGCAATACTAATAAATAGCGAAGACCAGAGCAGTGGAAAATCTTCGATTCTGGCTGGTTTGACGGGCCTGCCATTTCCAACCAAAGACGGCCTTTGCACAACATTTGCTACCGAGCTGGTGATACGAAGGGGAAACTACACACGCTTATCGAGTTCGATCAAGCCTGGACCAAATCGAAGTCTTCTAGAAACGCAACGTTTGCTCAATTTCCAGTCGAACTTTTCTTCACCCGATAAGATCTCGGAGTTGATCGAGGATGCGAAGACTTATATGAGAGCAGGTTCCCACACCACTGCGAACGCGTTCTCGGAGGATATCCTCCAGATCGAAATAGTTGGGCCAAAGCGCGTGCCTTTGACGATTGTCGACCTTCCTGGCTTGATTCAGAGTGTGAATGATGGTCAGAGAGCAAAAGACGTGGAGTTTGTGCATACGCTCGTCAAAGGGTACATGGAAAAACCGCGAAGTATCATACTCGCCGTCGTCTCTGCGAAGAGCGAACGCGCAGCACAGAGAATTCTTCGTTACACGCAGGAAATAGATTCCAAGGGCACGAGAACCTTAGGTAAGCACACTTCCACTATTTTGACAGAATTCGCAGCGCTATTACTAAACCTTTTGACATAGGTATTATCACGAAGCCAGATACCCTAGATTCTGGGTCTGAAAACGAGGCAAGCTATGTTACTTTGGCCCGAAACGAGTCGGTACATCTCAACCTCGGATGGCATGTGGTCAAGAATCGCAGTTACCAGACGAGGCTGTGTTCGGATGAGGAAAGAGACGCCGCCGAAACAGAATTCTTTTCTGCTGGAAAATGGGCATCTATTTCTCCAGGCCATCGTGGTATCGAATCTCTACGAACAAGGCTAGGAGACATCCTACAGAAGCACATATGCGACGAGCTACCGTTTCTCAGAGCGGATTTAAAAATAGCTCTCGACAAAAGCCGTCGAAGACGCGAAAAGCTGGGTATACCTCGGATCGGCAAAGATGATCACCAAAAATTTCTCATCAAGGTCAGCGAACACTTCCAGACGATCTGTCGGGATGCTGTGAATGCCTCGTATACCTCACCAATTTTCAATCTATCATCCTCGCACGCACAAGCAACGCGACTTCGGGGCCGGGTCCAAAACCTGAACATGGACTTCGCTAGGCTGATGTACACGAATGGCCATACGACTCATATTGTTGGAGATGGTGATGCGGTAACCAGATCATGGTTAATCCGGCCCGGCCTTGAGTTGGAATTTCAACCCGACGGTTCGGAAGTCCAGACAAGATCAAGATTCTTGAAGGTGATTGCCGACCTAGACACGAAAAGTAGAGGCGATGAACTTCCTGGTTTGTCTAATCCTCATCTTATCGGAGACCTCTTCAAAGAGCAATCAAAACGCTGGGGCCCTATCGGGGAGTATCATCTCCAAAGAGTGCAAAAGGCCGTCATGGAATTTTTAGAACGTCTTCTGGAACACATAACGGATCCCAGGACAGCCAACAGCTTGATGATGGAATTGATTGAAAACAAGATGGAGGAAATGGGGAGAGACTTAGATGCTAAGCTTCAGGAGCTGGTCTCGCCATACACGTCTTGCCATCCCATTACTTACGACGGCAACTTCATCAATCAAATTCGGCAAGCGCGAGCTGAGCGACAGGACCATGACATACAGGATAAAAAGGCACAGCTTTTGGGCAATGCTGAACAGGTCAAAAATCCTAAGAAGTCGCCGGAAGACTTTGCAAACTCCGAGATTTTAGATGGCTTGCAGGCGTACTACAATGTGAGTAGCAATGTACATATAATGAATCTCGCCCTCCGTTTATCCTAGATAATCCGTAATGTTGCTAACGCCTCGTATTAGGTAGCGATCCAAGTTTTCATCAGCAATATTACTGTTCTTGCCGTCGAGAAGTGCTTGATTTCTAAACTTCCGGCGATCTTCGACGGTTCAACAGTCTTGGGATTGACCGAGGATCAGCTAGAAGCTATTGCTGGGGAGTCAGCAGAGGTTCGACGCGAACGTTCCAGCCTAGACGATAAAATTGAAGACTTGGAATATGGATACGAACTTCTAAAGACTTATGCCCGACACGGTGCTAGTCATAGTTCTCGTCCAAGTATACATGTTACGGCTGGTAATCAGGAAGAGAGCAGACATCTCAAGGCGGAGCAGGAGAACAAGAATTCCGGGTCGCAGTCTCGTTCAAGCCGCAGGTCAAGGGCGGCAACACCCTCTACACCATCCTCGTCGTTGGATGGATCTTCACCGTCCTCGTCACCGCCACCCAGTGAAGCTCGAAGCACGTCATCTTTATCGTCGTATGGTGTGTCTGATACTGAAGAGAGAAAGGATGCACGAAATCTGTCTTCCGCAGTATCCACTCCGTCCCGCACGAAGAAAGGAGAGCGAAGAATACGCAGTTCCAGGTCAGGAGTATCGCTGGACCAACAATTTGGAGACTTGTTACTACCTAGAGAGGGGATTTCAAGCCATGACGGACCAGTCTAGTCATGAACCAATGATCTTTAATAGACTAAAGATGTGAAAAGGTCTATTTCCAGCATGCCAACCTTTTCCTGTAGTTTGAAAGTATGATTTCTTGCCGCGGTCTCATTCCCTTTGTCTATTTCACTCTTTGCTCATTGGTCGCTCGTTTTGCAAATCAAACACTCATCTTATCTTCGCGGCCTGTCAATTCACATAGCTTTCAATTTGGATCCTCGTACCAATATCTTGATGTTCTGGCATTAATGGCGTGCATTGCAAGTCTCTAATTACACAGAAGCGCATAGGAAGTAGTCTTGGATACAGCATTCTTAAGTTAAAAGAGGACATGCGATGGGGGAAGATATAAGTTTACTTACGTGGGGATTTGAGGGATTATCGCGATCCACGAACCATGAGGATTCTGTTGTTGGTACCGAATCATCTTCGAATAGCATGATTGGCTGGAATACCGTCATTTCGCACCTATCATCAACAACTCTTCGCCTCTGGTGACCGAAACGATCCAATCGATCCGCTAGGGCTTGAAGCATCGAAACACCACTTCTCCCACGTCTGATATCATCGCGAAATGTATCAGCTGACGGCACACTGGTTCTTCTGGACCCAACCGGTCCGAATCAGGCACGATACCTCGACTACTCGCGCACACCGCTCTTAACGATGAACACACTGCATACTAACGTCCTGACAGGGAGATCAAAGACCTCTTCTAGACCCACGCCGGTACCGGTCAATATGTGTACATCATGTACCCGAAGGAAGGCGACGACAGCAGACTAGCGGGCGTTCCTGAGCCACGTCTCGCTCATCACTTGAGCCGCGCAGGCCGCGCGTGGGATGATTTGCCTTGGATCGTGGACTTATCCAATGGCTCTGACTGGCTGCCGTAGGTCCGATATCACAGCAGGCAACGGGTGCCTTGGTCAGGTGTGCAAAAGAGATATGCGTGAAGGACAGGTAAGTGAGGCCAGCCAGTCAACGTCAGCCAGAGGCAGCTTACACAGGCCCATCCATGCCCCCGTCAGCCTTACGGAGAGCGAGTCAGCCTTCCCGCTTTCGATCTCAGCATGATATCTCCTGCGTGCGTTGGATGCATGGGTGTGGTGGTCCCGCGTGGGGAAACAGGCGGACAGGGCAAGTCCGGGCTGCAACTCACGTACCACGGCACGTACATCTATCGACTGACGTTTTGCATTATGCGCCCTGCAACTACGATTACAGCTGTAGCGAGTCGTGACGAAGCACGAAGACTGATAATGGAGACTGCAGTGCCGCTAGCAAAACCCGTCACATGAGGACTTCAAAGAAGCGGTGGGCAAATACTGCCACGCCACGCTGATGCGACAGCGAGGTCTGAGCAGCATACGACGAAGGAACGCTGAAGGAACGACGACGCGCTGGGCGGAGGGAGTCGGCCACTCGTACGGCTCTGCGGTGGTTTTGTAGGGCGATAGTGATATCTTGGTTGACGTCGACCTCTCCCCTGCGCGACTCGTCTACGCCCCGTGACGGGACGGCGGCCCAGCCACAGCTCTCGCATCCCACCTGTCGCTTTGGGCATGCCGAAGCCTGCTGGGCACCGTGCTGGCCATGCCGCTATCCAGCTCCCTCCGGCCCCGCCGAACCGTGCCGAGGACAGACGGGCGCAGGGAACGTTCGGAGCTGACCGCCTCGACATCGCAGGTCCAGTGACCCGCGCGCGCAGCTGGCGCACGCCAATGGCAGACTGCAGACGCGACGTGCCGGGAGGCTTGGAATTGAGCACATGGGGGGCAGTGCAAGAGTGGGGAGCAAATTGGAGAGCACCGCGAAGCCGCAAGCACAGCACAGCAAGGCGCGAGGCGCGACGTGTGCGAGGGCCTGGGCGACGGGCAGGTCATCACGTCGAAAGAGCATGCAGGCGCCTGCAGAAACGTCACCATGCAGGCCCAATCGGCCGTGGGCCGTGGATCCCTGCTGCCCACGCCGCCAAGGAGAGAGCGTGCTGAGGAGCGAGCAAAAAGCAAGGACAGCGCACACAACACGCCGTGCGAAGGGGACGAAATTGCCCGATTCTCAATTGACCGTAGCCCGAGCACAGCGCCCACAAGGGAGGCTGGGGGATGCCGGCCCGGGCGACGACGCGACATCTGCGGCCAGGATTGCAGACGCCGCCAAGCTCCAGAACATGGTGACGGATGCGCTGCACTCTGCAATCCAGTCTGCAACGGCCAGAATGCCATGCGTGGCATGCAAACGGTTCGCAGCGCCGATCGTGCGAGTTATGCAAGGCAGGGGTATTGCAGTCCTCCTCGTTGGTCCACGGGCATCTGGACAATCAAATAAAAGCCGCAAGCGCAGATCGGGCAAATGCATGGCACGCCGCCATTGGAGGGATGGGGTGTGAATTATGTTTGATTTGGGACAACCTGTCCTCATCGACTGCCGTACAGGTATCCCAACGTGGTCCTCATGCGGAACCGACCAATGGCTACTCCCAAGCAAATATGCTTTCGTGTCATTCTAAGCCTGTGCAACCTGGACATGAGAGGGAACAAGAAGGAAATGAAGAAAAGGCTAATATTTACAGTTGCGATGGAGAAAAGGTGAAACGACCGGTGAGAACTTTTGTTGGATCTGAACGCCCGGGAAGAACCTTGCTTTTGAAACGATTTCGTTTTCCTCGACGCTGATAACGCCTTTCCAAAGCAGAAGAAGTCGACTTTGACACCAAGCACCGAAGTTCCATGAGACCACCGAGGAATAACGCCACCAGATTATGCACAAGCGCTCAACGCGGGGGAAGATGCTGAGGAGATGCAAGAAAGCGATCGCCGCCGCAGCGGGGAAGAGCGGAAGTCGTCTAGGATGGGGAAGCGAAGTGGGACAAAAGTGGGAGAGAGGCTCCAGGCCTCACTTCATCCTCTTCTCGCCTCGCCCCGCTCCGACAGACTTGCAGCGAAGCTGAGAAGAGGTGTGGGTATCTTAGGCGTGCAAGGCGTAAAAAATGAAGCAAGCGAGGAACCTTTCAGCGCTCATAGCGACTTCTCCAGCTTCACCAGCTCCTCGAATGCATCGCGCCACTTGCGCGTCTCCTCCTTGCTTGGCTTGGGGAGAGGCTTGCGGGCGTGCCCTCCGTAGCCAAAGTGGGCCATCAGCGCTGCCTTGGTGCCAATGATGCCGCCCTGGATGGCGGCCCAGTCCCCGCGGGCTACGATGGCTTGCAGCCTGCGTGCTTCCTTCAGCTCGCCGGCCTCGAAGAGATTCATTAGCTTGACGCAGGCTTTGGGCGCGATGTTGGCCATTCCGCCAATGACACCTGAGCCGCCACCGATCAAGGTCTGGAGGGTGAAGTCGACAGAGCCGCCCATGCACATGAAGCCCGAGCCTGGCTCGGAGACGGTCGCGGCACGGGTCGCGGCTGCGATGCGGTTCAGCTTGCCGGTGTTGCCGCAGGTCAGCTTGCAGCCGACGATATTGTGGTGCTGCGCGAGTTCGATGATGGCGTCCGAATTGAGGTCCAGGCCCGACACCGCTCCGGGGTAGTTGTAGATCAGGATAGGAACCGGGGATGCACTGGCGACATCCTTGAAGAAGCTAACAATAGTATTTTTGGAGAAGAGGCCCTGGTAATATGCGGGGGGCAACACCAACGCATAGTCACCGCCATCAGCTGCAGCTTCATTGCAGAGTTCGATCGTCTCCTTGGTTGATTGGGCGCCACATCCAACGATGATGGGCATGTAGCCAAAGCCTGCGTCGTCAAGAGCCTTGCGAGTCGTCCGGGTAACGAGGCTACGCTCCTTGTGGGAGAGGTGCACCGCCTCGCCATTGGAGCCCTGAGTGGTGATACCGGCCACGCCCGCCTTGGCTAAACGGACAGCATGCATTGATGTGGTTTTGACATCTACGTCTTCTGTGGCGGAGTCGAAGAAAGCAACCGTGGGGACGTAGATGCCTGGCAGCAATGGACGGTGGATGTCCATGGATTCTACAGAACTCGTCTCGAAGTTGTCGAAGTGAGCCTGGTTGAAGATGTGCTGCGCTGCCTGAGAGCGAACAGAGAGGCCGTTGAAGCTGTTCCCGTTGGTGAAGCTGCCGTTCGGAGAAGGCGCGTCGTTGTGAGGAGACATGGCAAAGAAGATGGGGTTTTATGTAAGAGGAAGAGGAGGAGATCTATGAGGTATGGAACGGGGTTTCCTTTGAGCAAACGGCAAACGGCAATGACAATGGACACGGATAGAATACGTCAACAACGATGCGAGGTACCAACCGTGGAGGGGCGAAGCCTTTAAGTAGTCCCACAGCGGAGATGTCCATTGCACCTGGGCTACGCTGGAGGTGGGGGTCCAGCTGACGAAGGTCAGTGAAGCAAGGCGGGCAAAAGTTTCCTACGCACAGAGGTGGACAGGCATCTGATGAGGCAACCGACGCAGCGTCGCAACCAAGGAGGCGGTGACTTCGGCGGCGCTGGACTGACCGCTTCGCTGCCAGGCACGGCTGCCGCATGCGTCTCAGCATGACAAGAGGCCAATAGCGGGGTGTCCAGGGCTGATTGTGCAGCAGGTTGCTTTTTCTGCGCTTCCACAGCGTGAGGAAGGGCGCGAGGGCCCCAGGACGGATCTTGGCCGGAGAAGGGGGCGCTCGCCTTGTGACGATCACTGCAAGCGCACCCAGCACTCTGATAGGCAGATCGCCCGCCCCCGTCACGCCCATGCGAAGGGACGGCGGGTTCAGAGAAACGGCGAAGGAGCGCGCGAAGGCGGCAAGTGTGGGGGTGGAGCAGACGGCCGCCGGTGGCATCGCCAGACCAGCTTGAGGCATCATCTGATATCACGACCGCAACGCTGGGCCACGCCGCCATTCGTGGTGCCAGTGACGGCGTCTACTGTACATAGCAGCACTTGCAGGCCCCGCAGCCCCGAATGCAAAGGGTAAGAGAAACAGACGTGGCAGACGGAGGGGACCAGCAGCGTCTAAAGCGCAAGGCACTCAACCCTGGGGTGTCACAAGACTGCAAACCCTCAGCATCCTCGAACGCCTGGCATCCTCGCACCTGGCATCCGTTGCTCCCGACCAAAGGCCCCTTGTTTTGTGGCATCTACAGAGCACCGCCGCCGGGCAAGCGATTGCATGACGACGCCAGAGCCCGCGGAAAGCTTACCCCCACGCGCTCCCAGCTTCGACGCATCTTCTATTCTTGCGGTGGCGCACCTGGGCCATGATCTCGTCCTGTTCATTTCCCGACAACCACCACACGCAGAGCCTCGCAGGGAATTCGCTGCTGCTTTCGGCCAGCCGGGTCTCGTCACAGTGGCCCATGGCCGGCCGGCTCGCTATCTGCTGCCTCCTGCCCCCTCAAGTCCGGCGGATCCACCGGACTCCTTCACGACAGCAAGGAAGCAGGTTGCAAGAGACGTGCTTGCGAGGGTGGCCGCACACCGGCGGTGTCAGCAGGCATGGGCATCCTCGAGGCAAACGGGCGACCCAAGGCAACGGAGAGATCCAGCCTCTCGTTGCTTTTGACACCCAGAGGCCAGGCTCGCCGCCTTCGTTTCCTCGTTTACTGCCGGTTCCTGAGCGACGGCACAAACCCCCACGCGATCCTGAGCAGACGCCGGGCACGGCAACTAGGTGGCGACGTCCACTCCTCGCGCGTCCTGGCCGGCAGGAGCACCGAGAGGCACGTTGAACGACGCAGGCGGCCGTGCCCCGCCGCGTGCTCGTGGAGATTGGAGTCGGTATGCCCTCACTGACGACCTCGTATGCGACCAGGGCTTGGCGCACAGACTGCGACACCGGGCACTAGATGTGAAGAGTTTTACGTCTGCAGCATCGGTCCTTTACGCTGGTCGCGTAAGAAGAACCCCAGGGTGCCCGTTCAAAGACCTGTGGTCGGCGGAGACGTTGTGCGCGCAGTGAGGGCCTCGATGGCGCGAGGCACAGTTGGGCTCTCACAATCCCAGATGCCTGCATGCAGCAGATGCAGTCTATTTACCCCACAAACTGTCGATCCAAGACATGGCGTCCCCGCTTCCAGCACTGTCGGGTCGCACAACAAAGGATTCCTGCGCACACTGGCGTGTCAGAGCCGCGAATCCTTCTGACTGGCCGGGCTCGAGCAGCAGCCCAGCCTCGACTGCTGCACGCAATGCGGACACCAGCGCCACATCTTCACGTCTGCGGATGCTGACAGTCGAAGCATGCGTCTGGACAGAAGAGGACCGCCCCCTCCTCCGCACTCGACATGTGACGCTAGTGGGAGGGCGGACAGCGCCTCCATCCGTACAGGGTTGCTCATGCACTCGAGGCGCAATCAATTGAACAAGCAGAGTTTTCTAGCCCTCAAAGCCTAAATAGCCGTTGAAGGAAATTGTCGGCGATGGAGGGCAGGGACTATCGAAAGCTACCAACCTCCAGCAAGGAGCTGCGCCTGTCACTTCAACATCCCGCGGGATGAGTGACACAGAGTGGAGCCCCAGGCGCAAATTTTTCTGTGCTCGAGGGCTAATAGAGATCGCTAGGAAACCAGCGACAAAGAGAAAGCGACTAAGTGGTGTTTGATTGCTGGAAGAAATTGTCGACTCATTCTTACTGCAACCCACCGACTTTCGATGCCCCTAACTCGGTATGCCGAATCGGCCTGGTGACTGCGCCTACTCCGTCGTATAGCGCACGCTACTGTTTGAATGACAGGCGACAAACTCGGCCACACCTAGGATGGTGTTCCTGGCCGGGTCCGCACCCCTCACTTCAGCAAGGCCAAGTCGTCAACTCATGGTTGGCCTGGTCGGACTTTGACATCCGAAAACTCTTCGGATCGACGCATATGCCGAACGGGTTGCGTGTTATAGCCGCGATTACCTGCATGAGGGCTCTAGATCGTCCCGAGCACCAGTCCGGGCTTCATTGGCTGTCTTGCTTGAGCTTCGCCACTTCACATTCAACGTCAATTGCGGGGAGAGATCTGGCATCAGCGCCTCTTCCAACACCCAGTCGGTCTTATTCGTGTCATCCGCGTGGGATGTCTCTATGCTCCATATCTGTCATACGATCTCGCCACTTCCGGGACGATCTGATGCTACCTTGTGGAAGTCACCCCCGATAAGAACTATCTCGACGGTTCTCGGCCTAGGTAAGACCCCGCCTATCCAATTTCTATTGCTTCAAAACTCGTCAACGTTTCGTCATTGCCTCTGTACTTTTAGTAATGCCCTAGAGCTCTCCTACCATTCAGAAATGAACACCCCACCTGACTGTATCAAGCGCGGACGTCCAGCCCTTGCGGCACGAATCCCGGATGTCGTAGCTGCATGTGGGCGTCGATGAGGGTGCTTAGTGGATCTATGGCGGACACTTCTCTCGTAATCCGAAGCGACTCTCCTCACTTCTTACGAGGTGGTAACGCCAGCCGGATGTAACAGCCTCAAAAGCGGCATCTTGGGTCGAACTCCTTCGGCGACTCTTCTGCCGCTGATATTCCCGATAATGCCGACTTGACCCAACTCCCTTTTTGAGGTGTAGCTACTCTTGGTACACGATTCATGGACCGACCGCCGCTCTCCGCGACTATATCCACGCTTCTCCGCCTGGAGCCATGGACATCGCCTATCGTTCTGGAACGTCTCATACTGATTCTGGTGTACTAAAATGGATTGCTATTTCTAGAGATGCCGCACGTACTCAGAGATTTTCAACAAGTAACCGGTGGCCAGTAACACTCTAATCGGCTTCGGCGGCTACACTCACTCATCATAAGCACACGGCCGTCATGTCTAGTCAAAAGGAGAGACGTCCCATTTCATCAATTTCCATTACATTCAGCCATAGAAACCTTGCATACGCTCATGTTCTAGAGTTGCAATTGCATCTATTGGGCGCCGTTAAGTACTGCTGCTGAGAGATCAACTGATCATATTATAGGGCCAATGGAGTAGGTGGCTGTATTGCACGCCTTTGCTAGCATCGCGAGCTTCTAGGATCAAGTTACGTGCAGCTCATCACGACAGTCGTGTCGGAAATGAGTCTATCGCACATGACAGCAAAGGACGCCTCTAGCCCATTTGCTGTCTAGAGAATAGCTCACCGAAGTCGAGGCCGACGAAGGACCGCTGCATCACAGACTAGCTTTTTAGATGGCACTCACCATGAGTCTTGTGGCTTATCCAGGATCCATGCGGTCCGCTCAAATACCCTAATTTTGTGAATGCTCGATTCCTTCTCTACCTTTCATGTTCGTCATCTCGCTCTCCACCCGCTGCAATTCTTCGCACGGGATTCAAAACGCAATATCAATTAGTTCTTATCGCTTATTGACTTTACTACTAGCAATCCACCGAACCAGCTTGCACTCCCTTTCGGGAGATCGGCAGCTACGGAGTACTCCCGTATGCCATAGATGAATAAGCGGATCTTCTCACTAATCCTGCCTCCTTGCTGCAGCTGAGCTAGTGGCTCGTCTCACCCCTGCGCTCCAAGATCCGATCGAGCGTTTACCAAGAAGCTTCAAAAACTTTACTAAACCGTGGGGTAAGCGAGGCTACTTATCTCGCCGATTTTCGCTCCACGAAACTTCACAGTTCGAACGTCAATGGAAGCCGACATGCGCATGTTTCATCATCCCAACTGGGTCTCTTGTGGTCTGATCGCGGCAATTGCATCTCCAGCGCCTCCGTCAGGCTACCAATAGGACAATGTTCAATGTCGAGGAAGATATGAGAAATCATTGTGTGTCATGGAAAAAGTCGCACGGATGTGGCTTGCGTTGTGGTTGAGTTAAGCGTCAACCACGGGACGGTGTCGGCTCCAGACCTCTGGGCTCCTGGGCAGTGCTCCAATGAAGCATTTTTTAAACAACACATTCACGACAAGGCCACGAGTCTGCCCTGAGAGCGGAGGGAGACGTCTGCTAGATACCTATATCCGCAGGACAGATATGCATTGTGGCTGCTGCCAATTCGACGCTGGATATCCTATATGGACAGTACGCTATTCCGTTACTTCTCTTGCGTCTGCATGTCTCTGTTTCTGGTGCTCGATAGCAGATGGGACACGGAGTCTGGTAGAGAGGACACATGATCCTGAAACCCCTAATACTACCAATTCGTGGCATGCAGTCGATCTTTTTCGAATATTTTACGGCCATTAAGTCTACCCAACCTCGTTAACCATTACTGCATTAGCCTTACTGCACATTTCCATGCAGTCCAGTGTCTTTTTGCCCTACCCGCAGCGTTGGGCACTATTTTGCCAATATTTCAAAAAGCAAAACTTGGATCGGCAGGCTGTCATGACTGCTTTTTCTGAACCCCTACGGAAGGCTTCGGTTGGCTGCCGCAACCGCAACGTGTCTGACCCAGGGACCTCACCGCGTGGCGCCACATCTTCTACCTTGCAGCAAGCTTGCTTCGTCGAAATCTGCATTAGCGCACGCTTCCTTTACTTTTCTGCTCTTCTGCATCCGCCGCTTTGCCGTTTGCAGATCGGAAATTAAGGTACGCCTGTCAGATCCTGGCCGCGTGATGTGGCCTGCCGACGGCCATCATGCAGAATCCCGTCTCACGATACGAGCTATTCCTATATAGTTTACTCCGGGGATTCTTCCGGGCTTTTTCTGGCTTGGCTGCCAACAGGTGCGTTCAACGTGTCCCGGTTTCTTGAACATCTGTTCTCGAAACGTGCAAAATAAACGGCTTGCATGAGATTGGCCCTTAGCATGCTCTCTATGTGTTAGTCCTATTGTGATAGTCACGCCCAAACTTGCTTTCAGGTATTCTTGCAAAATTGTCTTCGCGATCATTCTATCATCGTCCTGTACATGTCACTTCTGTCAAGTCAATCAATGCCAATGGATTATATCTCAAGCGTTGCGCGTACAGCGCTTGAACAGGCTGCGGCGCGTTCTATCGGAAGAGCTCCCGCAGCCCAGATGTCCTTCATTCTCTTCTCAACCCTCCATACCACGATACGCTTTAGCGAATCACCTTTTCTTCTCTTTTCCTATCGCTGACCTTACCTCGGCACCACATGTATCCAATTCCATTTCTTCCACCTCAGACTACCCCAGATCTCTTTCCTTTCCCCGCCCGTATCTAAACCTATGAACCCACCTCGGCGACCTCCGACGTCTTATCGAACGCCATGGCGAACATGCAGAATGCAGTATGCACTAAGATACAAGCCTTCGGGGAAGCGCGTGGGTCACCCGCTCCCGAAGACCTAGGCCTTATTAGAATATTGGGCAGGCCTGCATTCTGCTCTACAGACTTGGTATCGTGGGTGGGCACAGACAAGAGAGCCACGTGTCCTCTCAACTTGGCTGGCTGCCACCAGCGCGCTAGAAGGCTCCGAGAAGGCTTCGCCGCTTTCTAATGATTAGGGTTTTGCTTTTTGGAGAGATAGGTAGGTTGGCGGGTGAAGCAATGGGCTTGGAGAAGGCGTGCTGAGATTTAGCGATGGCGGAGATAGGTGGGTTTAGTAAGTAGTTTTCTCTAGCTTCTCTCGAGTATGAACGAAGAAGACACACAATTACCAGCTGGGTGTCTTCTAATTGAATGCATCATTATACTAATGGAACATGTGAACCCGATGACAAGATGATGAGTTGTGGAACTTATGAGATGTGAGACGTAAGCCACAAAAACGGTGCTAAGCTGACCTTGACCGTTATCCCATTGCTTCAGTATAGTCACACACATAGCGATCGATACCTAGGTGGTTTACAGCTGTAACATAGCATCCCATAACTATGACATCCGTCTTTCTCTGAGACTTTCGAATCACTTTGACTCTCTCTCTCTCTCTTTCTCTTTTTATATCACCCCAAGCCATCGCCTCCGCTTAAACCGCAAAGCCCGACGCAGATGAAACGGAGCACCCCTTCTTATTCCCACTCCCTCCGCCTCATCGACCACCTCCTCGCACCCTATATCCAAGCCAATCATCTGTGAACCGGCTGACTCGAAGGGGATCAGGTTGCTTTCCGTCCGCCTGAATCGCCTCGGTGCTACCAGGAGTCGATGCTTTGCTGTAGCGTCACGTACGCTCCGCGGGCGTCGATTTCCATACTTGGGAGCGGGCGATATGAAAGCGACCCCCTCTACCACGACACGGGACGGGTTTGTGATTTCGACACTACCGTTCGGCGCGACACTATAACAGTCAGCGTGGTGGGAACGTGCCTGAGGTTCGGGGAAGTGGCAGTTTTGCCTTCCTTTTTCTCGGCGCGCTCGCGGACCCCCCCGCTATCTCTACGGCGCATGAAGATTTATCTCCTAAAATATCGCCAGTCATGCTCCTCGACCAGGCGTATCTCATCCTGGTGTCGTTTCTACGCTAAGATATGTGGTTGTTGAGTTATTGTAGAAAAGGTGGTGTTGGCCTCGAAACTCGAGAAATTCGTCTCGCTCTGGCTTCAATGGGCTTGGCGGCGGCCAAGAGTTGCCGGATAGGTAGTGTGTTGTCGGCGGCGGAAGCATGTGGCCCCGGGGTAGCGACGCCGAGTCACGCTTTTGAGATGTGTTAGGAGGGGTGTGAGAGAGCAGTGGGAGGCTATGATGCTTCCGAGAGAGGTACGTCTAGGTATAGTTCATCTAGTGGTAGCGATATATTGACTCGAAATCTTTCTACCACGGTCTAGTGCTACACCACACGTCCGTTACCTATCATCCTACTAGGTATATCACCGCCAATACCGCTACACCGTCCTAAATCCCCGGCACCACCACCGCCGTCGCCGTCGCCGTCGCCGTCGCCGCTGCTTCAGCCGTCTCTACCGTAAACAGCCATGACCCGATCCACTCGAAGAATCCCCAAAACGCGTTGCACGCACCCACGATGATGTTGATGGGCAACATGACCAACCCTACTAGAATAACCCACAGCAGACCCAAAAGCACCCAGATCAGCCGCGCCGCAACGTAGGCCATCGCGATGCCGAGCACGGAAAGTGCGAAGATGAATATAGTGGTTGGGATCCTGAGGAGGTAGCGGCAGCGGCGCTCGGACGGGGTTAGGTCGGCCCAGGGTTTCAGAGCGGCCTCCGGGCTGGAGCTGGGGCTGGGGGAGGCGTCGGTGGGCGCTGGGTCTGTGAGGATGGCTCAGTACGGTTCTGTAAGAAAATACGCTGATGTCGCTTTGGAGGATGAGGAGATGGGGCTGTTTGAGATGGCCTGGCCAGGGGACAAGTCGTGCGGAACGAGGTGTGAGCACCTCGTGAGCGTACTTGAGAGCGCAGCAGGCGGGTTGAGACGGTGATACTATACGCACTCGTACGTACCTGTTGCGAGAACTTCAGCGGCCTCGATATCCGACGCCGAGGTCGGGCACGGCGTGACGCCCATATGCCGTGTAAGGCTGGCGGGGAAAATGAAGAAATTCACTTCGTCGAGGGAGGGCATCGTATCCTCCTTCGACTCCGTAGACTGGGCTTCGCCTTCGACTGCGGCATCGGGAAGAGCCTGGCCCTGGCCATCATGGGAAGCAGTGCCAGACACAGAAACGCCAGAGCTAGTGTCCGAAGAGTTGCTGGATGTAGATGGTGTCGGGACCGCAGTGAAGCTCGAGGTGTCGCTGGAGGCCTCGCTGGCCCAGTGCTCAGTGTGGGTTCGGGTAGAGCCGTTCATTGTGGCTACGAACTCGGAAGGTTTTTAGAGATGGAGTATTGGGGAGAGGGAATGAAGATGCGAAGGCAGTGGGAGATGGCTGCTTTTGTGTGGCGGATTTTTGCTCTCGAACCATGGTTGGAACAGAAGACTCGTAAACTGCGCCAAGATGGGTTGGAATCAGTGGTCCATGGTTCAACTTCTCGGCGACAAGCTTTGAAGCTCGGCGGTTCCAGTGATCGGAGAAAGACGTTGCTGTGACCGCAGGACTCTCGCTAAAGTCTGCGGGAGGACTTCAGGGAGACCCAAGGAGGTCGTGGTCAGGATAGTTAGGCGTAGAAAAGCCGTCGGACAGTTCAATAGAATTATAGTTTGGCAAATTCGCTCCCTTTTGGTCTTGTAATTAGCACGCTACAAGTCGAAAAGTCAGAGATCGTGGCGGTGACTGGAGGTCGGAGACGGTGGGTACATCGGACAGGTTTGGGAAGAGGCATGACAGGAGGACGGCCAGGGGGAGTTTCTCGAAGGAAATTAATTTTTGTAGTTGAAGGAGGGTGAACTACATACAATACACGCCATGCTACGTTTGATTCCACGACGAACAAAGTCAATTCCAGTTCCGCTTTTCCGGCCAAACGCCCGTCACCCTAAAGCTCCGACACGCACGCACTACCTCACAACTCGTTGTGCTCTGGAATCGGTGCCTCGGGCTCGTCCACAATCTCTTCAATCTCGATCTTGAACGGTTGCTGTTCTTCATCTGCCTTCTTCTCCTCTGCCACAATCGCCTCTACGATGAGACTATCGGGTAATTTCTCCTTCTTACCCTCACCCATGCGAAGCGCATCCACCCAGTCCTCTACAACTGTGGCCCCAAACCCAGCGCCGGAGTACTGCTTCCACCACCCGCGCTTTGCCAACGTCGTAATGATTTGCGTGTCCTCTGCACTGAGCTTAAGCTCTTCACGGAGCACGGCCACAAAGGGGTTCGAAGCCGGTACAGCGAAGAAGGGGAAGAGGTGTGTGTTCAATTCCTCGTGCTTCTTGTGGATAGAAGACAAAGAGGCGAGAGCGGTGGTAGCGGCGTCTGGGAGGGCATCACCGTCTGGGAGGATTGCGAGGATGCACTGTTTGCTCTTGGCGCTGAAACATTGGGCCTGAAGATCTGGACCGCTAGAGATGCGAGGGATGGATGCGGGAGCTTCTTCGACTACAACAGGCGGTGCGGTCTCAACGTTCGGGTCAGGCGACTCGGTAGGGATTTCTGGTTCTTCGAGAACGATGTTCGTAGCTGATGCTTTCGCGGACTCTGCATCGGCAGAGTGCTGTGACGAAGAGGCAGAGGAGAAAGAAGCTGAATTTTTAGCTTCTTTCTTGCCATCCTTCTTGCTTGATTGCTTCTTCTTGGAGGCCTTTTCTTTCTCGGGAGGGCAGTCTGGGTTCGGAGGAGCGATTTGAGAGAGGAACTCGCTCATGGGTGCTTTCTCCATCTTGCCGTCGTACACGATCCCCTCCTTGTCACCGCCTGGGAGGAGGACAAACGCAGGGACCTTCTCAATCCCAAAGGTGGACATGGCCTCTTTCTCCTTATTCCGGATCTGCGCTATGTTCACGACACCTGCGAAATCAATCGCTAGCGCCCGTATCGTCGCGCTCGTAACGCCTTTATCACTGAACAGTACCGCTTTAGCTGTGTCGTTCCCCTCTTTCAGCCAATCTTCCAATCCCTTGTCCCCGACCCGCTTCACAGTGTTCGGAATGCGCTCCTTGACCGCATTCACAATAGCTTTCGCCTCGCGCTGGCCATTGTAGTCTTCAACCGTCGGCTTGCCGGCCTTCTTGCCTGGCCGGACGATCTTTAGTGTCGGGAAGCCCTTCACGCCCATGGTACCGCAGAACGGCTTGTTGTATTCATCGTCGCAATTTATGGCGGCGACTTTGGCGAGGCCGGCGAGAGACTTGGCGGCAGATTCATAGGCAGGCTTGAGGTTCTTGCAGTGGCCGCACCACGGGGCGTAGAATCTGGGGAGGTCTTTGTTAAAGCGGGCGGGTGGAGGTGGTGGAGAACAGTGAATGCTTACTCGACGATCTGTGGATGTCATGAGCATCTGGTTCAATATGCTGTGGAAGAAAGCTTACAGATGTGTAATTCGAATTCTTGATCAATCTATCATACTCCATGCCATTGATTGCGAGCACTGGAGAGCTCTTGCTGTACATGCCATCAGCTGCAACTGGGGCAGCTAGCAGCAGTGAAGCCGCAGCAACAAGAGCTGAAGTGTATATCATTGTGATTTAACTAGTCGGGAAAGAAAGACAGAAGGAGAGGAGGATGGGAGAAGAAGAGAAGGGAAAGGAGGCGTGAGGTGTGGTGATATATTAGGTGTCGTTATGGAAATGACAGGTAGCCTCATCCCAGGCCCGGGAGAGCTTCCCTCAATAAAACGCGGGGCTGAAATTCAAGCTTGGACCCCTTGGACCATCGAACAGGCGCCTGGGTCATGGTATGCGAGGTGCGAAAAAAGTGGCACACTCATCACGTACTCTGCTCGTCTGTACACCTGTCTGCCACTGCATCATGGAGTGCTCCAACAAATTTCCACATAGCCAAGGCGAGGAGCGTCTATCTTCTTCAGATTCCTGAAAATAGATTGAAGCCACTCAAGCGGGGGCAGACAGGTGTACACACAAAGCAGCTTATTCGAGAATTAGAGTGCCACCTTTTCCATGCCCCGCGTGCATAGTCAATTAAGGAACAGCCTTACGGGCTCACCACCATCCTCCTATCACCACTTTTGCGCATCTACAAGCTACCCGGCAACCTCTCCTCACTCAACCCCTCAGCCTGTGGTGCGCTCAACATGACGTCTAACGTCCCCGACAAACTGAAGACCGCCGACATCACCCGCTTTGCGGTGCGGGCAGCTCAGCTCGAGAAGGTCAAACCAGTAGTCGCATATTGGTGTATGTATTCGTGATTGAAATATTCGAACTCCACTAACAGTTTACAGGCGAATACTACATTGTCCAGCAAATCCTCAGTAAAGGCCTCCACCAAGCGGACCAAGAATGCCTGCAATACACCACCGCTCTGATGGACAAGCTCGAGCAGACCAAGACCGAACTCGCCTCCGAAGATGCAATAATGGACGAGATTGCGGCGCAAGCATATTGCGAGCAGTTTGCGTTGGACACATTCCAACGGGCGGATAATGTTGTGCGAGCGAACAAGGCAACAGTGTATGCCAAACATCTATTTCAGTACGGAGAATACGAAGAGCTTATCTCTGAATAGTCACACTGCCGACATATTTCGTGCTGCTGCTACATTCCTAGATATGCTGGCCAACTGGGGTGCTCCTACGCAAGAAATCATGTCAAAGTCGAAATACGCGAAATACCACGCAATACGCATTGTGAAAGCTCTCAAAGCAGGCGAAGATCCCAACCTTTCGAATCCAGTGCGCGAATCTACGCCAGCAGTCTCGCCAGTCGCTTTAGACCCCAACGACCCAGATGTTCAGCGAATAAATGGGTTGCACCAGCCATACGTTGAATCCGCACCAGATACCTCCGCCCATCCATCCCCAGCATTATCAGCGTCGAGAATATCACCGCCTCCTCCTACACTACCTTCCGCCCCCTCTAGCTACTCGCAACGAGCGCCCTCGCCGCGGCAGTACATGCCGCATCGCGATGTGTCTCCCATATCAGCTCCGTCAACATCCCGCCAAGGCTCCGTCTCATCTATTGGAGGCGGCTACTTCCCACGCGTCAACGACGTACCAACCTTCACTGCAGACAACGCGGCACCTAGCTTACCTACAGCACCATCGAACGAGGACGAAACTATGACATCACCCTACGAGAGTTCCGCACCGGCAGGCGACCCGCAAGCGTTCTACCAGAATCAGAGCAGAGACGTTGATCAGAACAAGCTTGCCTTCCCAGAACCGCAGCCACAGATTCCTACGCAACAACCCCAGCAGAATGTTTTCCAGCAGCAGCAGCATTACCCACCGCCTCAACAACACCAACCTCCCCAGCAACCTCAGTTTCAACCTCAGCAGCCGCAAGTCTTCAACCAACAACAGACACCCGTACCAGCTCAGCAGAGCGCACCATACCAGCAACAGCAGGCATATCCAAACGGAGGAGCCTATAATACAGATGAAGAGGCGATCATCGCAGCGCAGAAACATGCTAAGTGGGCGGTCTCCGCGCTGAATTTCGAGGACGTAGACACAGCAGTGAAGGAGCTGAGGATAGCGTTAAGGGCTCTTGGTGCTAGCTGAGCCAATTTCAGGAGTAGCTTCTGTTACATTGAATCTGGTCACGAGCCAATGACTACACTTGGGCGGTTCGCATTTCGAACAGACATCGACAAATGGGACATCGCTGACTTTGGAACAGCGTCTCGCTTGGATTTGCGCTGTTGAGGAACCCTCCGCATGATTTGCGACATCTGCAGAGGTAGAGACGTCTTGACTTCTTTGACGTGTCAAGCAACGAGACATCTTGTCATGATAGATTTGACAGCTTATGGTGGTAAGATACAAGTATACCTATACCCAGTATATATATAAGTCTGCTTTTCTACTTGCGTTTGGCTAATTTGACTCTGTTGGACCGTCGAGTGACGACGAATTGTGTAAGATTGACTGCACCTCAAGGGGACCCATGTTCGATTGTACAATCTTCTTCTTCTAATTTGCGGTGCGCCTTATAAGATTCACTAACCATCTCCATTTGAAGTAACTTTCGTGGCCCCACCACCGAAAACCGCATCATCATGTATCAAAATGCCAATCTGGCAGGTACGCCTCACAATAACTCCACCGATAAAAATTCCCATTCTGTCCAGGCGGCGGCACATTTCGACTTTCTCAGGCTGCCACCGGAACTCCGAAATTTGATTTACGACCTTGCATTCGGAGGAGGCCAACTGCCTCTTCTTGTGACTTGGAATCATCACCGTCCAGAACGTCATGCTCAGTGCTTCGATCCCTAGGATAGAACCGCTGTGTCAAATACATTGACCTCATTCAGTCTGAATTGCAAATCCGTGAGGAGTCAGCAACACGTTTCTACGGCCTGCAAAGTTTTTGCATTTTTGAACAAGGTAAGTCCTTCTGGGACGTTGCACGTGCCTTTTTTCGGATCCTTCCGTTTTCGACGTCGACCGATACGCATGTCGCTGGGACCCTTTCATGAGCGGGATGGACCGGTTACGCTGCTTCACTGTGCCACTTATGGATAAGCTTGATTCTATCATTAATTCTCTCCTCACGATGACTTCTCTGAAGTTCGTCCACTTCTGTATGAATCTGCCCGAATTTTTTACATTCGAGCGGATAGATCAAACACGTGCTCTAGTCAGGAGGTTAATAGACCTCCCGGTCGCTCAAACTTCGCTGACTTCCCCATCGTCACATCGCTAGGGAAGCTAAATCGCAGCACCTCGTTAGAGACTTTTGAGATCACGTGGAAGGATATTGCAGAAACTTCATGCGGGAAGGGGCCAACAGGTGTATTCAAGTATGACTACCTAACAACGCATCGGGCCCGGCTGGAAACCAAATTCACGCAGCTCCTCTCTGAAGTAATGAGTTGTATGGTTGTGGTCAAAACCGATACACCGAAGGATGAGGTGGAGTCGATTGATAAATTAGTAAGGGACCTAGAAGATAAGATGAGAATGCGCCGCGTTTAGTGGTTTACCGGCGCAGAATGTTGGTGTTTCCATTGAGATCTCGGATCTTCCAGGTCCTCTGGAATGTAATGAAATGCCCCGACTATTTATAGGCAAGTCTCAACCCCAAAACGGTCAGTAGCGAGGTCTAATAGTGGCCCGATATAGGGCCCGAGATTTAGTTTCGTGATTATTAGAGATATTTGGAGATTATTAGAGGCCTCTCGTGAGCATGTCGACCAAGGTTCTCTGATTCGCTACCTAGATCTCAACCTTGGAACAACACGTCGAGACTTACCACAGAGCGACCGCACACCTCCAACATCTCAGTTCCAAACCCCCCTGAGCCTCTTACTAGAAACCACTCAGCCATCGACAAGCCCAGCAATTCAACGCCGCCAACATGTCCGAGCGAAAGGTCATCTCCAAATACTACCCTCCCGACTTCGACCCCTCCGCGATCGCCCGTCAACGTGGCCCTAAACCAACCGGCGCCAGTAAGCTTCTCACCGTCCGCATCATGGCCCCATTCTCCATGAAATGCACCTCATGCGGGGAATACATCTACAAAGGACGGAAGTTTAACGCCCGCAAGGAAAAGTCTGGCAAGAAGTATCTGCACATCGAGATTGTTCGACTCTACATCCGCTGCACGCGTTGCTCTGCTGAGATTACCTTTTGCACCGACCCTAAGAATATGGATTATGAGTGTGAGAAAGGGGCGAAGCGGAATTTTGAGCCGTGGCGCGAGGCGAAGCTGACGGAGGAGACGGAGGAGGAGATGATGGATCGGTTGGAGCGGGAGGAGGGGGAGAGGGATGTGATGAAGGAGCTTGATAAGAATGTGGAGGGTGGGCAGACGGGTATGGCTGTTGCGGATGCGCTGGATGAGATTCGGAGCCGGAATGCGAGGCAGGAGCGCGTAGGACTAGGGAAGGACGGAATTGGAGAGGATGCTGAGGCTGGGGAGAAGCGTCAGCGAGAGGAAGAAGACGCTAAGGATGCTGAGATTGCTCGTCAAGCCTTTGCGAAGAAACGCAAGGGAGAGGAAGAAGAAGAGGGTGAGAAGAAGCCTGACGGAACGATCAATTGGGCGGGGACGATCAATTGGGCGAAGCGAGGTGGGAAGAAGAAACAAAAGTCTGGCCTTCTCCCTGGGCTTAAACACAAGATGACGGCGAAGTAGCTCTATCATCAAAGAGCTCGGTTAGCACGAGGCTTAGTCCTGTGTATTGATAGTGTCCAATATCTGTGTATGTATATCCTTATCATCGTCATGGAGAATGACCTATCAAGCCTCCCCAAATTGCAACTCTGTGCTAATGGCTTCACCCTGGTAGAAGACACGCCAGTGTAAAGTAATCTTCATTTGCGAATCCGTCTTGAATGCAGCGAAGGATTAAACGACCCCACAAGGAGGATGAATCTCTGCGGCTAAAGTGGGTCGCGCTTTGACCACCTTGTACCCAAAGACGACAACTACTCCTCCACGCACACTCCCCCCAATGCCACCACGAACTATGTGCCGCCTCGTTGCTAGCATAGTGCTAAAACATATCCTTTATGACTACGAAAGAAGAGCTAATTCTTAACTCTAGGATGAGACCTCTCCTCGAGCTCTCCACCATGTCTCCGCCAGAAGTCAACCATCCACAACGAATTCATTACAGATTATTGCTTACATAGAGAATTATCGTCACGAGAGACATGATACAGTAGGATTTCTCACATAACCGTGCTTGAAAGAGACCAAGGCTTTAGCTTTGAGAACGGACCGGAATGATGGCCTTCTCCGCAGCTACTGAAGCCTCCCAGTGCTATTATTGGTACTAAAAGCCTTTGAGGGCCTCTTTTGACTCTTGTCATCGGCTCGCTGTCCTTTTGTGTAGTCTTTCTTTGTCTTCTTATTATCAGTTTTTCCAAACTCTTTGAAGTCCGGCAAGAGTCTATTGTTGGCTAGGACAAAGAGAATTGTTCTCCGCATATACTCCTCGCTTCGTTGCTGATGGACTGTACAAACCTCCTTCGAAGTTTGACTTGGAATATCTATTTCCGATCATCCTGAATTAGGCCATCAATCCCATCCAACCCAAAATCAAAAACATCACGATGTCTAGGCAAGAGAGGGTTGTATGGCACAGAGGCGAAGATCCCTCTGCCTCTTTTCCGTGCATAAAAAATGGGAAAGCAGACAAGGCTCGGAACAAGGGTGTAAAACGCAGACGCCCTGCACAAATGGACCGTTATTCTTTCGCCAAGGCCGCGTGGACAACAAACCGACCAACCAATTGGCCGAATAACACACCATGGCCTCCAAATAAGGTAGCGGATCTTCTCACAGCTGATACAACCCCCAATGATCCCAGCCGGCCCAGGTGCGTCGGCCCGTTCCTCTGGGAAGAGATAAATTGCAACGAAGGCTACCAAAATTGTGACCACACATTCGACCAATGGATACAAAGCGGCATAGATTGGCAACCTCGGTTTGAGCTAAGGGATTTACCCATAGCAGGTACCGGAGTCTGGACTAAAGTGGATTGGAACAACAACGACATACTCGGATGCTACACCGGCCATGTGATACCACCACAAGTTTCAGAGAACGATGCCACGACCGGAGCCGACGGGGGATCAAAATATATCCTGAAAATGGCAATCGGTCCGCGGCCCGGACGGCTGAGGACACGGACAAGTCCTAACTGGCCGAAGGCCGACATCGACTCGGAGTGGACCGGCAATTGGACTCGCTTTGTCAATCATAGCTGTGAACCGAACGCTCGATTTTGGCCTTACAGGGTGGGCAACCACCTTGTAATGGTAGTCGAAGCCGTGGAAGAGATACTCGCAGGCACAGAGATCACTGCTGACTACGGCAAGGAATACCTCGCCCGTTACGGGCCACATTGCCTCTGTGGCGCTCGAGGATGCAGAGACAGGAAAAAGTTTAAGAAAGCTCAAGCAGAAGCGAAGAAGAAAGCAAAGCAGCAAGCAGCACAGAAGAAGGCTAAGGCTGCTGCACGACGGCGGCAGTGAGATCTGAAGGTGAGCTATGAGGTAATTAAACTACTTTCGATAGAAGAGATAAACTGAATATTCATTTCCTACGACATCTCCCGCAAAGTGTTTTAAATTGTGTGAGTTTCTGCTATTACGGGACCAGATAGATCCAAATATGTAGTATGTGGCGTTGAAACTCAGCTTCAACTTCGTTGACTGAGTGTTTAATTGTCAAGTCAATTCTGACCATATATCTTCCACCGCCTACTAAAGTCACTAGACTATGTTCAGGTATTTCGCCTTTCTCTATACTACTGCTATTGCTCATGCTCGCATCCGTAAACAATTCTACGCAAGAACGGCCCACTCAGTGAAGCGGCCTGCTTCCAACCACGCGGTTATGATCACCTTTCCTAGGGCGACGAGTACCGGCGAGTCGGAGTTGCAGTCATCAAAGCAGATTTATCCATTGAAGATCTCATGGGCATGGGCTGGACACGGCGTAGGGTGACAATCGTTTGAATTGAGCGGCATGACCGTGTGCAAGAGCCTTCTAAATGTTCAGAAAGATTGAGAGTCGGGATGTCTCGAGTCGTTCCTGGATCTCCGGCAACTTATATATGTCTGACGGGGCATGCAGAAGTAGCAGACCGTTTGATAATGATCGAAGGCGCCGACGTCAACGCTCAAAGGTGGAATGTACGGCAACGCGCTGTAGTATGCTTGAACTATGGAATTGGTTCGGCACAGCGGGTTCCTCGCCACGCAGGGACGGACGTTAAAGAAGATTAACAGACCAGCGATTATTTTATAAGTCGCGGGGGAGAGATTTAAGATGCTTGAGGAGTAAAGACTTCTCGGCACGGTGGGTTTCTCGTCACGCAGGACATTATGTATCTTCTTTGTCTTGTGTAGTATCCTTCTTGTTCTATTGTCCGACTTCGCTTTATCCTCCTATCAATTGTTAGAAGCTGAGCAAGAATCCGAATTGATGGGTGACTCTAGACAAAGACCATTGTTCTCCGCATACCTCCTCGATCACTGATCAACGATACAGCCCTCTTTTGAAATCATGCTTGATTGCAAAGCCACGCACATTCTCGCATATCTCAGATCTTAGGGAAGGTACGAGAACAATTAGCTGTAAGTAGAAATCAGTGCTCCAAAACAATTTACAACGTCAGGACGCGGCGGCCTCAAAAAAGACACCTTCGAATACTGGCTCGACAAAACCGTCGGGACCAAGGCCATCGCCCGCAATGCCCCGGTCGACGGAACAACCATCACACCCCGCCGCTTCGAGGCCCTCGAGTTCGCCAAAACAGAGTGGAAGAAGTCACCGTGGCCACCTAAGGCCGAGCCACCCCCGGGCTGGCCCGCAGGCAAGTGGCCCCTAAGAATCTACAAACATTACTAGCCGCTGACAACGGCAAAGACCTGCACTGTCTCGGGGAATCCCTGTGGGATGATGCTATGTGTCCCGCCGCCCGCGGCAACCTCAACTGCGGCCACGAATTCCAGGACTGGCTGTCCGGCGGCCTCGACTGGACCTCCCGCTTCGAGCTCCGCGCCACTCCCCTAGGCGTCGGCGTCTTCGCCAAAACGCAGTGGCAGAGGGGCCAGATACTAGGCGCCTACACCGGGCGCGTGATCCCGGCGCCAGACGGAAAGAAGAAAAAGTCGCTGGCGTATTGTCTGAACATCCCCATTGGTAAGCGAGCATCGAAGCGTGGTAAGAGTCGGCATGATGAGGCGTGGCCAAAAGCGATGATTGATGCGGAGACAAAGGGTAATTGGACGCGGTTTATCAACCATAATTGTGATGCTAATACGCATTTTGAGTACTTTAGGGTCGGGAAGCAGATTGTGATGGTGCTGGAGGCGACGAGGACGATTGATGCTGATACGGAGATCACGACGGATTATGGGGAGGGGTATTTTGAGCAGGCGGGGTTTGGGTGTCGCTGCTGGAGTAAGAGTTGTATGAGTAAAAAGTTTCCGAAGCAAAGGATTGAGAAGAGGAGGAGTGTCACCAGTGGGTGTCTTGAAGCGGACATGTCGAGACGTCGAAGTTAAGATGATGGCAAGCCGGTCAGAGTAACCTTCGTACAGGCAGGCAGATAGATACCTTTCAATGTTTAAAGGTAAGCTATTAGCGGGTAATCACTGCCTCTTTCTTTTTTTGGAGGCTTTTGGCCTGCGAGGTAGGTCCGAGATGTCGGTCATGACTGGCTCATTCCTAATGTTCTTCTTGTATTGTTGAGAGATGTTCATTAGCAAGTACTGTCTAATAAACTTGGGTATCGTATCTCTTATGTTCAGTTCTTTGGTTCCTCACTGCCCTTAACCCCACAAAGATGAATCATTTGAGCAACCATTCAATTTACATTGCTCATACCCATGAGAGGTTATATACAAATGCTCACACCAAATGCCCCGCATCCAAATGCCCATCAAAATAACCAAAGAAACAAGCGCACTCATCAAGTATATACAAAAATGCAGTCAACGTACACTACAATGTTAATTTCCACAACCTTCTAACTCGCAACCTGCCTGTTGCGGCGGTACTTGTTGAAGGCAGTGTTCATGCGGGCACCTTGTTGAGGGGTGAACTCGTGCGAGCAGTCGGTGTAGTCCATGAAGTTCCAGACGGGGTCGTTGCCAGGATTGGCGGGGCAAGTATCAATTACCGGGCAGCTCTCGACGTTGCCAGTGATAGTCTCGTGCGAGTAGGAGGGCTGCGCCTGCTGGGGAGTGTCCTCAACGTAGTCGTTGGGTTCGGAGCAGCCGCCTTGGAAGGTGTGGTAGAGACCGAACCAGTGGCCGACTAAATCGCGAATCAGTGAGCATGAAGTATGAGAGGGTTGGGTGGGAATGATTTGACTTACCTTCATGGGAGGGAGTTCCACTGATCGGGTCGAGCGCGGCAGAGAGGGGAAGATGGCAGCCATCGCCAGTGAGATCATCCTCCGTAATCGTGTCTGTGCCGTTGCTTTGGTCCAAGCCAATTGGCAGAGAGCACACGCCGCTGCCGAAGCCTTCTCCGGCGTAGATGTTCACGTCGTGGTAGCTGCCTTTGTGGAGAGCCTTGCCCTTCTCTGGCTTCTCGAAATCGATGTCATTAGCCCACGCCGCATTGACAATGATGTCAACGGGCTGGGTGTTGAAGTGGATGCCGTAGATGCCGTATGCGGCATTCATGTGGTCGATCTGCTTCCAGAGGCCGTCGACAATGGAGTTGTTGGCGTCGGACCACTCGCTGACGAGGAGATGGTAGTATAGGTCGACCTCGATGGTATCCCGGCGCATATTCGCCATGCTGCGCTTCATTTCTTCCTTGGAGATGCTGAGGATGTCACGGTCGTAGTCTTCATTGTCACAGAAAGCGGAAGCGAGGGAAGCTGCGGAAGCGAGGCTCAAAAGAGTAGTGCTGAACTTCATTGTGAATAGATGCGAGGCTGAACGAAAGGTAAAACAGAAAGAGTATTAGGAATTGAAACGCGTTGGAATGATGTGATGGGTGGATACTCGACGGGGAAACACCCGCAGGTATATATCCTAGATTCAAAATGAAAGGTAAAGCAGCCCCCATCAGCGGACACACTTCAACCTTGGCTAGAGGCTCTGCACAGTGCAACCTACTCACACGGGCAACGCCAATGCCACTGATGAGCCACCACAAGAAATGAAGCTCCGGCACTAGGAGCCCTACAGCCTGGCGGCTACTCTGGGGTCTGAGCTCCGCATGTAGCATCACTGCCCTTGTAGGGCGGCCGTTTGCTAAGAAGGACTCAGATCACTACTCGTTTCGTCAGGCTGGTGCCAGTAATTGGGCGGCCGTTTACGGGGGGCCCTTCATGCGAGCTTGGTGGTTGGTCGGCGAGGGGGCTAAGTAACCCTCACTGCCTCCTGCTGGGTGCCTGACCCGCGCACCGCGCTCGTGGACCACTCAAGGATGACGCTCCCTTGTCACTCTGCGTGCGTCCAGGCATGCATGTCTTTGGCGTACAAAATATCGTGCCGGGGCAGTTGAAGCCGAGATTTAGAATCGAAGTGGGTAGTCTCAACGGCAGCGCCGGAAGGATCATGATACTGGAGGCTGCGGAGTCCAACGTTACGTTGATGCCGTGTTCACTGCTCTATCGTGCGCGTACTCCGAATACAGGTAGGTATATCCCCGCGTGATGATCAACGGTTAATATCAAGAAATGGGAGGAGCAAGTCCCGGGTACTTTGCGGGCGAGGTTGAAACAGAGATGAAGCTTGAAGGGCCAATCGCATCAGGAGCAATGCGGCCCCCACGGCAGTCTGAGACGATCGAGGGGCGCCACCGAGGGCCGATTGGCAGAGTGCCGGTAAAGTCGAGCCAAGCTTTCCCGGCCCGAAAGATGGGCGGCATGGCTTGAGGCTGTTCACTCAAGTGCCACACTTGCGTCTATTCTTAGCTGGCCGCCACCCGACCTCCCTCTGCCTCTCTACACGTCACGACCACACTACTACCACAGCCTTACCGATAGCACTACGGATAGCACCACTGATGACGGCTATATTCAGTGAGGCTGTCCGACGCGTAGTACATTCCTTCATGCCAAGACCGCGTGGGCGATTGTCCCCTGCCCACTTGCTGGGGAGACGCGTGCTGCAAACAAGCATCGAATCGAAGAAAATCAGACACCAAAGAACCGCATCTCAAAGGAGCCGCTTCTTTACATTCGCTCACTCGCTAACTCACCAACTCGCTAATCCTAGAGACGAAGGATTCTACCTTTTCACGCTCCTCCTCGCTCGCCTTCGCTCCTTTAATCACCAGTTCATCGCCACGAGCTGTTCCCTTGTGGCATTTCGCCCGAGGCGCGTTTCATCCCTCTTGTGATGCTGTGTCATGTCCACACTACCTAGTCGACTGTCAGCCCGCCCGAAGTCTTGGCGCACCCATTTGCCGTATTCTATATTCCCCTGTCAGCGATTTTCATGCCCCCATACATACTTTGATTTAAACCCTAATTCTTTTTGAGCTGGCTACGCAAGCTTCAGTCATTATACATCCTGGCGCCGACCGGACATCATGCCTTGCGGCTGAAAATTACTGTGCGGAACTCGCAGACCGCCCAAACGCGTCCGTGAAGAGCCGATTGCTTCGCCGAAACGTCGCTATACTTACCTTTAATACAGCCTCAACCACATGCTCGGCTGTAATCCGAGCTCACGTGCTTTCAAAGGAGCGGTTAAGGTAACACTCTTCACTTTCTCCTGTTAGCTGTGCTACCACCCTATAGCAAGACTGCTGCGACACTTACAAGTAAGTCAAAAGGATTCAAGTAACCTTCCTATATGCACATAAACCTAGCATAAGGTTCATTACATGGATTGGTTTCTTACCTTGAAAGAAGCAGATCTACAATGCACTGTTCATACGAAGGTAAGCCTGTTGGATTGGAGACTTAGCCGTCTCTTTTCATCAATCACTCTTCGGACCCCACAATCTGACAGAGGAAGCGATCGACCATGTCGTCTGTGCGGTAATCAGCATGTGGGTGTTGCGGAAAGATTCCCTATTCGGGCCCCCAGCAGCGGCCTCTGCCGGAAGTGGACGTCTCTACAGGAACTCCGCAATATTCGATGATTCTAGGAATGTAATCCTCCAGCTACACCTGGGTCAGGAGTGTGGCCAGAGTCACCGGATATCACTGCTGCGCACTTGTATTCGAGACATTCTGACCGCTTAAACAGAAATATGTCGTATTCAAGCCTCCCCATGGCATGATTCCAAACACGTAGAATCCTTCGAGTTTCAGTCACAGTTATCATCTTAGCATACGGCTTCGAAACACCTCTAGGGTACGTTTTATGTCTACACAGCCTCGCGAATGGTCCGGGTGCGAAGTATTCGACTAGCTCCGAGCCCCGAGTCCTAGACTGGCAGCAGCAAAAGGGATCAGCAACAGTACGGCACGCTCACCACACCTTCGAATCCTCCAGACTCCAATAACCCGACATGTCTAAACTTTATGATTGCCATCTTCAAGATCATCGCTACATTGTATTGTTCAGATCCCTATATTCGCGTACGAGTCTTGATCCGTACTTTTTCCGCGCTTCGAATCCTCCTTGTGCAACAGTCTATACAGCATCCCACACCTATCCCCACACCGTTATCACGAGTTGCAGACATCGGAACGGCTGGTTTTGCTCGCGCTCCCTAGGAAGTTCGAAGGAATTTATGAGCGTCACATCCGATCGTAGCTTTACAGCAGGGCTGCCCGTCGATCTGAATATAGGCTGTAGAGTTTGTGTGCCGTCGACGAACAACGCATAGCAATGCTTCCGAACCTGCCTCTCTTGGATATTTGGCTGTTACTGATGGTGGTGGTATGGTGGTGTCGCTGGACGGACATCACAAACCCAGACTGGACGAAGAAGGATTCAGTGGCGTATGCGGACTTCAAAGCCTAATGTGGTAACAGTGATCGGGTTTCCAGAGCAAAAGGATTGCTGAAGCCGGTGATGTCGAGGGAGTGGCGAAGATGGTGTTACGTTGCAGTGGGTTAGTAGGCCTGCTCAGCGTGAGTGCCGCCATCGAAGCTTCCCCTTATCTCTATTGATTCCGAGCTAGTCTTGAACGTGGTTTTGCGGTATGTTTGGGAAATCATACTAATTGTGTGAAGAAACAGCTTCGTACGCGCCTGGGGCTCGCAGCCTTTATTGACCTTTCTAGCTCTTCTCATACCTGCTGACCGCTCACGCCTTCTTGACTTAGTCGATAGCCCTACCACAGCGTCAAGGCGCATCCGGTGAACTAGCGCAGATTTGAAGCCACAGATGTAATAGGTAGGATTAGAACGGAGGAAGCCCTTTCCTGGACTGATTCTTACCAAAGCTGAGCTATAACTGTCAAAAGCAAGGTATCGAGAGGCGTTACTTTCCGGATTATCCCACTTCTGCGGCTGACTCTCGTGGCTTCCTTTCCGCGCTAGTTCACCGGATGCGCCTACACGCTGTATGCATGCGTGGGCTTTCAAAACATCCAACAAATCCATCTTGTTCAACGAAATCCAACCCAGTCTTTCATATCAATAATTGTATTATTCTAGAAGTGTCGAGTGGACGTTCGACTACGGCTATAGTCCCGGGAAACCTTGAGAGAATAATTATGCAACCGGGTCAATATTTCCAACAATACTTTCGCATATAAGATACGATAAAAAGTTACAAATAGTAAGAGCCAATGGTAGGAGTGCATCCGACACCAGCAGTGAACTGAGCGGTCCAGAATGATGGACAATTTTCATTTCCGATCACAACTACACCTTAATTAACTGCTCGAGATTCGTATCTATACCCGTATCTTTGACTAACACGATCCTCACCCTCTCTAGCCACCAAAGCCCCATTCAAGTAAAATACCGCCACTTGGCACTCCTCTCCCCATCCGCCAACTCATCCGTATCAATATCCTCCGGCCTAATCACCTCCCCCATCTCCCGATCCCTCCTCCGGTTCTCCATCTTCATCCACCCGCCCAACCACAGCGTAAACACAATACACACCAGATTACAGCAACACGTCGCAATCAGCGTCGGCACATACTTGGGCGCGTACTGCTGCCTGAACGTCCCCGCCGACAGGATCCCCCCCAGATTGCCCAACCCCACCAGCAACCCCGTCGTCGCCGCCCGCGAGTTCTCGTTGAGGTTGTTGTTGTTGTGCCAGCTGTGCACGAGGCACGAGGGGATGTAGGCGCCCGAGGCCATCATGAAGCACGCGAAGTACGCGACGCCCTTGTTGGCGAGGACGTCGATGGTCGCGAGGATGACCATGCCGACGCCGCTGACTAGGAGCGCGAAGACGATGTGGAATGTGCGCTCACGGAAGCGGTCACTGCTGTAGGTTACTAGCAGTAGGAATACGAAGCCGACGGCGTTTGGCGCGACAGTCCACAGGTTCGTCTTGACGACTGAATACCCCAGCCGAGCAACGATTTGCGGGAGGAAGTTGGCGGTCGTGGAGAAGGCGACAGGGTAGGTGAAGCTGATGACCATCCACGGGAAGAACTTCCACGTCTTCCAGTGCTGGAAGCACTCGCGGACGCTGAACTCGACGCCGGTGGAGCTGGAGGAGTCGCGCAGGGAGCGGGCGCGCGCGGCAGCGCGTTCGGCGGGGGTTAGGAACCAGGCGGTGGATGGGGTAGCAGGGAGCCACCAGAAAGCGGCGGTGCCGATGAGGACGGTCATGGCGCCTGGGGAATGTCAGAGGGGTTTGAAGAAGGGGAGGGAGAGGGAATGCACCTTCGATGATGAATAGGAACTTCCACCCCTGAACTTGCGGATCGTTGATTTGGAAGACGCCGTACGAGATTAGACCGCTGAAGGCAGCGGCGAGGAGGGCGCTGCCGAAGAAGATGGCGATGCGGAAGCCGAGTTCGCCGCGTGTATAGAAGAGGGTGAGGTAGAAGACGGTCCCGGCGAAGAAGCCGGCTTCGAAAGCACTACAGCATTTCAATGAGTAACTTCGAAAGTAAAGAAAAGCGGACTTGGACGTCGTACCCAAGAAACAATCGAAGCACCACCATCCCAGCGAAATTGTAGGCGGCGCATTGGAGGAGTGCACATGCGCCCCAGCTGACCATGACTATATCCGGATATCAGCATCAATCATGCATTCTAAGGAAGGGCGGAGGGCTGTCTTACGTCCTGGAAGCATGATCTTCCCCGACCATTTCTTCGTCAACATATTCAGTGGCAAATCGCATAGACCATTCGGAATATAGAACAGCAAGATCAAAAGCGAGTACTCTTCGCCTATGAAGTGGAGATCTTTGTCCATGCCGTCGGTCTTCGCGTTGCCGAGATTGCTGCGGTCCACGGAGTTGAAGAAGTACATCTGACGCTTATTAGCACTTCAGTTGCCATAAGGGGTTCTTAGGTGAACTTACCAACGAGAGAAATGGTAGCAGGTAGAAGTCGAGTTTCCGAACTAGAAGTAGTAATGTTAGAATGGAGACGAAGCTGGGTTGGAAGAAAGGCGGACCATATGACTTCTCCGCCGCCTTGTCGATATAGGCTACTGAGCTCCCCATATCATGGTCTGCTTCCGTCGCTGGAGGCGAGACCTGCTTGCTGTCGCCATCGAAGGCGTTCTTCTCTGATGAACCGAACATCGCCACGATACCTCTCAATTTCTCTTCGATGAAGTGCTTGAATGGACGAGTCTCTTGAACCAAAACAAGATGAAGATAACAGATCGACAATAAGGGTCGGCAAACTAGACTTTTATATAGCCAAGAAGCTAAACTTTCCTCCTAGAAGATCAGTTCCAGAAACGCCACCGGTTCCTGAGGACGCGATAAGGTGCCACCACAGTGGTACGATAGATTAACTTTTGGCGTTGTGAAGCCCAGCCAAGAAGGACGTACGACCGTCGTCTTCTTGGTGGGCGTACCCTACAAAGGGCTCTCCTGTACAAGCGGCCATTATTGATAGAGTGCGATAGTGGATACTGCTGCGATATAACGAGAGTGGGGGGTTTGGTGATTGGGAGTACGCCTAAAAGCGTTGGTTGAAGATCAGCGGCTCCTTGCTGCCGATAGAACCAGCAAAGCGGATTTAACGAGTCCGACGGGTTGTCGTGACTAACGCGCGATGCGAGAATGGGGAAATCTGCTAAGTGCGCACTTTGACGCGCCCTTGGGAGGCTGATTCAAGTTGTGGATCAGATACCGAGGAAGTGGATGAGTGGAAGAAGGTTTAGGGACCTGGTTGCATGGCGCTCAAACGTAGAGGTGAGATTCGTTACCATATGGCCGGCGTTGGTACAGTAGACGCCACCATGCGCTACAGCTTCCGCGTTATTGGAGGAGCGTAGAGATCGAATCTTATGCTTACCTCGTCTCTACCTGTCTATCACCAAAATCCTGACTTGGTAGTTTTCGTAAAGGAAATATGGTATTGTGCTTTATTCCAACCAAGTTCTATGCGGCCACCACATCTACTTTTTGGTAGTCTATATGCTCCACCCATATCCAACATGTGCCCAGTGACCCTCTTAATGCCCTTTCATGAAACCCTCATAATACCGATCCATCCACTCTATTGCGCTCAACCCGCTTTCCCTTGTGCCTACCGGCCAGCTCCGGAAAGCACCGACATACCCATCCGGCCTCACATTCACGACGGCCACCTCGTGGGTGTCCAGACCACCAAGCCACTTGTCGATACAAGTCTGCTTGCGCGTGTCCATTTCAGGAACGTCGTCAAGATAGAACGTCCACCTGCTATCGCGAAGGACCTGTGTTAGGTCCGCAATCTCGACGTCGTTGCGAGACATGTCGGTAACGAGTGAATACGTAAATACAGTGCTCACGGGCGTGTAGCGCTCAGGGCAGACAAACCCATCATGTGGTGCGTCGAGAGGAGGTTGGATAGTGTATGATGCGTTGCCGGCCGATGTGATCTTGCCGACGGTAGAGGAATGAGATATGTGGCTAGCGCAGACAGTGTCTAGGAACGGTTTCGCGTCGTGGACGTTGTGTGCGAAGAAGTATATACGGAATTGGCCTAGGGCCGGGATATCATTTTGGATGTCGACTGGGTTGGCATCCATGTATCTGGTGACTTTTGCGGGGGGAGGTAGACAGCCCGGTGTGAGGCTGCCGTGGATGAGACCTTTGGAGGGGATGTTGAGGACATTGTATTCGTAAGTGGTGCCGAAGCCGGAGATGAATGCTACATTCTTGCGGAAGTTCTCTGCCAAGGCCTTTGAATCTCCGTTGGCAAATGCATTCGCGTGCTCGTAGTCGAAGTTGATAAGGTCTTGGGCGATCTTCCTCCTCTCTTGCTCGTAGGTGGCAAGTAGGGAGGGTTTTGCGAGCCCACGGACGGCAAAGTTCAGTTTCCATGCTAAGTTCCAGGTATCGTGCATCGAGGTATTCATCCCTTGGGCTGCCTTGGGAGAATGTGTATGACTCGCCTGAATGGGTTAGATAGGTACTTCAGTTCTGAGTCTCAACACTTACGTCTCCAGCAATGAAAACTCTGTCCACATCATCTGTGAAGCGCGAAGCCACTCGCTGACCGATTTGATAGCGACTGAACCATTCTGCGCTAGTTAGGGAAATTCTCGAAGAGTACCTGGGTCTCAAAGCTTACCGACACTCTTCCACCTGAGGTAGAATGGAGACATAATTTCTTGCGCTCTCTTCATCACGAAGTCTTGAGATAGCTCCTCTCGCGTGGTGCCTTCCCGAGCATCTGATTTGAGTTCAATATACAGCCGCGTCAGATTCCGTTCTCGCGGAATCATGAGCACCGAACCACGTTCCTCAGACGAAATCACCGCCTTGCTCCAGAAATCCGGGAAATCAGTGTCGATCTGGCCATCCAACACGCCCCAGATAGCATCGTGAGAAGCACCCTCAGGCCTCGAATCAGGGAGACATTTCCGCACCATCGAATGTGCACCGTCGCATCCAACAATGTACTTCGTGCCGAAGTTTTTTTTCGTTTGACCGACATTATCTTTGCAGACGGCCTCCAGAGGCATCGTCTTTTCTGGGGTATAATGATAATCCATGAACGCGGTATTTCGTCGTATGCCCACTCCTCTTTCTGCCATGTCATCTATGAAAAGTTTTTCGATCATGCCTTGGTGAACAAGCAAGATGTAGGGATCGAGGAGGTCGACGAATGGGGGGTAGTGAATTTCGCGTCCAGTGCGTTGCAATTTGGTCTTCAATGTTGATCTCTATGCATTCAGGGTCAGTCTACATGTAAGCTTCCGATTGCATTTTGACATGAACTTACCCAGAAAGCAATATCATACACCTTCACACCTTTCCTAAGCAGAGGCTCTGCTAGCCTCATCTGCCTCAGAGTCTCGACTGTCTTGGGTTGTAAACCATCTGCTCGTCCGGTGGAGGTCATCTCAGGCCTGTTGTCCACAACTTCGGTTTTAATTCCAAACCGCACCAAGTTATCCCTATACACAGCTTCTGGTTAGCCTAGTGCCTTAAGTCAGAGCCTCACAGACAAACATACGCAAGCATCAGCCCCGCAGGCCCAGCCCCGACCACCACGACATCGCTGAAACTCGGTCGTTCGGGTTGGCCATTTGCAGGCACAACCTCCATGGAGCTGGCAGCGGTGCTAACAGATCTCAGCGACTCAGTCTTCAAGCCGGGGGACATCTTGGGCGACGGAGACGAAGAGAGCGACCTTTGCGAAGAAGGTTTACGCTTCATGATATCCCAGATGGTGGCCGTCATGGCGGGCTCTTTTTGGCTGCGCGTCGAAAATGGGGGTGCTGCGGGGAGTCGCGTTTCGTTCGCCATTTCTGAAAGCTCGCCATTGTGCCTTTTGATAGCTGGAGATTGAGTCTACACGGCTCAGCGGCAAGGCTCAACGCTTGGGATCAGCAGCGTGGTGTGATGTTAGCCAGGGGCAGCTTCTGCAAATTCGAAAAGGGCCTGTGTTGGTCGCGGTGTTGTCAAATGTGCGAGTGCAACTTTTTCTGGTGGCATGGACCTCACGGCAGCCCCCACCCTTGGCCACCGGGGGACGCAGGGCGGCGGGAAGCCGGGGAAGCTTGCATGGCGGCAGCTCCTTAAGGAATCCCGAGAATGGACCCGCTGAAGCCGTTGAGAGCTGTGATACTTTTCCTTCTGGTTCCTCCTCAGCCTGCTCGCACTGCACGCTTCATCAAACGTCATTAACGCCCGATGGCTGATACCGAGGCGAACTGGGAGGAGATAGTCCGAAGAAAACGCCAAATCCGAGCCGACGCGATCCAAGAGCATTCCCAGCACGAGTCCAAGGCATCACGCGAGGTAAAAGCCACGATAGTCGCAGTCGCCCGCTTCCGGGGTCCCATAGATGCTAACAAACCGAAACACCAGCATGCCGTCGAAACCCCTTTCAGCCCCACAAGCACGCAGGCGGAATCTGAGCGGGACTTCACGGACATTGACCATGTGGAGGAGATCACAGCTGCCATCCAGTCCGGAGAGGTCACAGCAGCTCGGCTGTGCAGAGCGTACATAAAACGGTGCGAAGCGATCCCAGCATGCGTCAAAGGCGCAGGCCCCCGTTAAGCCATGTGCTTCTTCGTCCTGGCCTCCTAACGCCATTCTCACACCATTCTAGGGCTGTGGCTGCGCACAAGCGTGTAAATTCTTTCCATTTGTTGAATTTTTTCCTTCCTTGTTCTCTGAACCCCTGTCTCATGTAGTCCCAAGTCCCAACGGCTCGGCAAACTAACAGGCACAGACGAATTGGTACGGAATGCACTCCGATCCTCGTGGCCCTTGCATGGGTAGCCAAGCTTCTGGCGCCGACTGACAGCAGCCAGTCTTACCGAGATCCTCTTCGACGAGGCCCTCAATGCGGCCGAGGAGCTTGACTCTTATTTTAGACAGCACGGGACGCTCGTGGGACCGCTTCACGGCGTTCCCATGACTCTGAAGGACCAATTCGACGTCAGAGGTTACGACAGTACGATCGGCTATGTTGGGCGAGCATTCAAGCCAGCTGGCGAGGACGCCGTTTTGGTTGCCATGCTGAAGAAGCTCGGGGCCGTGGTCATTGCAAAGACAAACTTGCCGCAGAGCATCATGGTACGGCGGCAACTTCTTCCGAACTTCCGGCTTTGGATCGGCAATTGATGTCTCTTGCGCAGTGGTGTGAAACAGAAAATCCACTGTGGGGATTGACGACACACCCGGAGAACCCCGACTTCACCCCCGGGGGATCTACTGGGGGCGAATCTGCGTTGCTCTACATGCACGGCTCTGTCGTCGGCTGGGGGACGGACATCGGCGGGTCGATCCGCATTCCCACTCACATGATGGGCCTCTATGGCCTAAAACCCAGTGTAAGCCTGGACTACACGTTGTCGTAATCGCTACGCTAGGAGCATGTTTCCCTGACACCCCTTTTCAGAGTACAAGACTGCCATACCACGGCGTGCCGGTATCTACCGATGGCCAGGAGCATGTGCCGTCTGTAGTTGGTCCGTTAAGCCGCTCTCTGCAGTCTCTCACGGCAGTTACGAAGGCAGTCATCGATACCTCACCCTGGAAGCTGGATCCGAGGTGCTGTCCGTTGCCCTGGCGGACCGATGTATTTATGGAAGTCCAATCCAGACCGCTGGTGATTGGGCTGATGGAAGACGACGGCGTAGTCCGAGTACACCCTCCCATAGCTCGGGTCCTGAAAGCAGTAGCTGCAAGACTCCAGGAAGCCGGCCATGAGATCATTCCGTGGCATCCAGGTAACCACCACCGTGAATGTATCGACATTGTAGTACGTAAAATTCATATCTCCGAGAGCTTTACAAAAGCAAACATCCAACGCTTCTACAACAGGATGCATATTACACTGCCGACGGTGGCGAAGACATACGTCGAGACATGCTCGTAGGCGGTGAGCCATACATCCCGCACGTTGCCGGTCTGGTGAACAAAGCACCAGCAGTCTCCGTCTACGAGTACTGGCAGCTGAACAAGCGGAAGTTCGCGGCCCAAAAGCGATATCTAGATAAGTGGAACGCGGCCGTGTCGCCAAAGACAGGAAGAACTGTAGATGTGTTGTTAACGCCAGTGATGCCGCATTCTGCGGTCAAGCACCGAGAATGCAAATGGCCAGGGTACGTATTCAATTTCTCACTACTCAATCCAAAACAACAGGAACAGTTGAGCCGATCTGTGTGCTGAAACTGGATGGCAGATACACCAAGGTCTGGAATCTCCTTGATTACACCGCGCTCTCCCTCGCCGCTGGCGCTGTGTCGAAAGAGCTGGATCCGTCAATGGACTCTCTCTCGCCTTACGAGGCGAGAAATGATATCGACAAGTGGAACTGGTCACTCTACAACCCTGAAGCAATGGACGGGATGAAGGTGAACGTGCAAATCGTGGGAAGAAAGCTGGAAGAGGAGAAAGTGTTAGGGGTTGCGGCAGTGGTTGAGAAGCTGATGAATACGTGATTTAGAGCCATGCTTCTCTCCTACATCGACTTAAACTGAAGTCCTACGTGAGCGCTCGTACTGACGATGAATTTGGATCATTCACAAGATTCCTCATGCGCAAAAGAATACGTTCTGGTGCGGAGCGAAGAGCTTTATATGGAATGACATTGGATGCCTTGACCTGATCTCAGTTTACGCGCTGATTCCCACACCGTGGATTCGCCATTGCAGATGTGCAGAAATTTGTGATATGGTCTTTGCGCTTGTAAAGTTGTTCGAGGTAACTCCACTCCTCAGGTTTAGGCGGTCCTTCTCTTACGGCTTAACGTAATCCACAAGTTAGTGGCCCGCACAAGCTAGTGGCCCACCCAACTCAACACGCGACGCGTCGTCCAACAACCACCCCAATGGCAGCACCACAACAA